CAGTAATAAAAAACCTCCCGACTAAAAATAGCCCAGGCCCAAATAGATTCACAGCAGACTTCCACCAGAAATTCAAAGAAGACCTACAACTAATACTGCTTAAATTATTCAAAAAGATAGAAACAGAGGGAGCTCTCCCAAACTCTTTCTATGAAGACAGTATCACTCTAATACTAAAACCAGATAAGGAAATAACAACAAAAAGAAAACTACAGACTCATATCCTCAGATGCAAAGATATTCAACAAAATACTTGCAAACTACACACAGACATACATCAAAAAGATGATCCACCATGATCAAGTCGGCTTTATTCCAGAGATGCAGGGATGGTTCAATACATACATAAGTCAATAAATGTAATAAAACACCTAAATAGACTTAAAGACAAAAACCACATGGTTATCTCAATAGGTGCAGAAAAGGCATTTGACAAAATCCAACATGCATTTATGTTAAAAGTCCTAGAAGGAGTTGGTCTGGAGAGAACATACCTAAACATAATTAAAGTCATATACAACAAACCCACAGCCAACATCATTCTAAATGGAGAAAAACTGGAAGAATTCCCATTAAAATCAGGAACCAGACAGGGCTGTCTACTGTCTCCACTCCTTTTCAATATAATGCTTGAAACCCTTGCTAGAGCAATAAGACAAGGAAATTAAAGGAATACCAATTGGAAAAGAAGAGGTCAATTTATCTCTATTTGCAGACGATATGATATTATACATAAGAATTCCCAAAAATTCCACTAGAAAACTGTTAGAAATGATTAATACTTTCAATAAAGTGGCAGGTACCCAAAACTCCTAGAAATTATTAACACGTTCAGTAAAGTGGCAGGTTACAAGACTAACCTACAAAAGCCTTTCTATACACTAATAACAAGCAATCAGAGAAAGAGCACACAGAAACACTCCCCTTCACAATAGCTGCAAAAAAAAAAAAAAAATCTTGGAATAAACCTGACCAAAGACATTAAAGACCTCTACAATGAAAATTTCAAATCTTTAAAGAAAGAGATAGAGGAAGACACTAGGAGATGGAAAAATTTACCATACTCATAGATTGGTAGAATCAATATTGTGAAAATGACCATCTTACCAAAATCAATCTATAGATTCAACACAATAACAATAAAAATAGCCACAACATTATTCAGAGAGCTTGAAAAAGTCATGCTAAAATTCATATGGAATCACAAAAGACCTTGGATAGCCAAAGAAATTTTGGGCAAAAAGAACACTAGGGGTGGTGACCATACAGAGCTATAGTCATAAAAACAGCATGACACTGGCACAAAAACAGACATGTAGATCAATGAAACACAAAAAAATACCTAAACATGAGTACATGTAATTTCAGCTACCAGATATTTGACAAATGTGCTAAGAATATACAATGGAGGAAAGACAGAATCTTCAACAAAGGGTGCTGGAAAAACTGGATATCCACGTGCAGAAGAATGAAATTGGACCCTTATGTTTCACCCTGCACAAAAGTCAACTCCAAATGGATCAAAGACCTCAATATAAAATTTGAAATTCTGAAACTGCTAGAAGAAAACATAGACAGTACCCTACAAGACATAGGTATAGGAAAGGATATTCTAGATTAGACATCAGCTCCTTGGGCACGAAGATCAACAATCAATAAGTGGGACCATATTAAACTACAAAGATTCTGTACAGCAAAAGAAACAACCAGGAAAGTGAAGAGGAAACCCACTGAGTGGGAGAAAATCTTCACAGCTACACATCCAGCAGAGGATTAATATCCAGAATATATAAAGAACTCAAAAATCAAAGAAACAAGAAAATAAACAAGCCAATAAAAATATGGGCTAGAGACCTGTATAGAGTTCTCAAATGAAGAAATAAAAATGGCTAAGAAGTGGTCAAAATCCTTAATAATTAGAGAAATGCAGATAAAAAACACTTTAAGATTCCGTCTTACCCCAGTCAGACTGGCTAAGATCAAGACAATGAAAGACACCAAATGCTGGAGAGGATATGAAGAAAGGGGAACATTCATTCACTGCTGGTGGGAATGCAAATTTGTGCAACCACTATGGACAGCTGTGTGGAGAACTCTCAACTAAAAATGAACCTACCCACATGACCCAGTTATACCACTCCTTGGCATATACTCAAAGGACTCATTCTATTGTAGAGACACCTGTACATCCATGTTTGCCACTGCTTATTTCACAATAGCTAAGAAATGGAAACAACCAAAATGACCCTCAACTGACAATGAAGATGTGATAAATTTACACAATGGAATTCTACTCAACACTAAGAAAAGATGAAATGAAATTTGCAGGTACATGGATGGAACTAGAGACTATTATACTGACTGAAGTAACACAAATGCAGAAAAACAAGTGACGTACGTTCTCCCTCATTTGCGGACTGTAGCACTAATCCCTTACATGTGAGTATATATTCTGATATAATACCAGGAACCAGGAAAATGAAAAGGATAAATGGAAGCAAAAGAAAAGAAAAAACATGAAAGAGAGGAAAGTAGGGAACAGATGTTACCAGGGCAGAGGTAGGGAGAGTGGGAGTGTTTGGCTGGGAGTGGGGGAGAGAGGAACATGCAAGGGGCATGTGGAGGTGGGGAGTGACGATGAGAGACTGTGGGAGGCGGGTGTTATGGGGGGAGGGTGGGAATAATGGGGCACTGGGATTGGGGAGGGATGAGGGAGGACAGATAGGAGGAACAAGAGTAGAGATGAATGAGTCTTGAGGGTGTAGGGAACCCAGAAGAAATATGATGCCCCCAAAACCCCATGAGCAATGCACATATAGTGTCTAAACATTAGTGCATGTGTCTATCTAGGGGCTATTGGCAAGGAAAACAATGCCAGGCTGAAGAGACCTCCCTTTGAATGGTTGTTGAGAGTGGTCTAGGAGACTCCCAAAATAACATAGGCTATTGCCAAAGTTCCTGGTTATCTCTCAGAACTAGTAGGTAAGACCCTCCTGCTGAAGACAGGACATACTTAGGATACAGGACTTGGAGCAAAGGAGCAGGAACTAACCTGACATTCTTCTACCTGAAGTTTAGTTCTCATGATACTAGATGATAATATGCAAACCGCTAAGGGAGAAAAATCAACCAATGGTCCAACCCAGCCCTAAAGCCTAATAACCATAACTGATAACCAGCGCGACAAACTACCTTTATTGGTGCGGTAGTGGCACTGTTATCTGAGGGGTAATCAACAGCTATCTAATTAGACTTAAAGCCCTCTAAATGGGAGTGAACTCATGGGTGGCACTGTAAACTCAGCCAAATACACGTAGCTGGAGAGGACATGGATCCTAGAGAAAATCCTATCTCTGTGATATCTCTAGATGAATGAAATTTCTTGCCACATGCTAAATATGGATCCTTATATTTGCAGACAAGTATACCATATACCACTCATCAAAGAAGCTTCTTTTTGCAACAGATGGAAGCTACTACAGAATCTCACAACTGGTCAGACATAGAGCATATATGTCTGAGAGATGCCCAGTCCTAGGTGACACATGTACAGTTGAACCTCTACACCTACAGCTCATGGAACATAGCAGAACAAGGGGTAGAGAGAAAACTAATGCATCCCTCACTTCTCACCAGTGAAGCTTCCTTATACAACAGAGTGTGACACACACAGAAAGCCACAACTTGCCAAGTTTTCAAGAATAAAAGACTTCAGACTGTGTATCCCTGGATAGGACTCCTATATTGAACCTCACCAACCCACAGCTCAGAGACCACTGCGGAAGAGGAGGTGGAAAGATTGCAAGAGCCAGGGCTCGTTCATGAACACAGCGAAGCAGACGTTTTCAGGCCACTGGAAGCCTGAACATGTGAATTTGTGGCAATGGTGGCATCGAGAACACGACCCATGCCAACTCAATTAAACAAGGGCCCAGAGGGGAGGAGAGAAATGGGTGGCAGGCTAGCCCTATACTGAGAACTATGGGAGACTGTTTGCTACTGGAAGAGGGAGTGTATGCCTTATTTATGATCTCTAGATGGACTGACTAGGCTCCAGTGGATTTCTAGGTACAAATGCTTGACTGGATAGAACTTAACATGTATGGTGGAATACACAAGATCCAGTTGGAGGATCAGAGGGGCATGGAGGGGATGGGGCTCTAAATTTGATTAAGAACTATTGCATGAAATTGCAAAAGCTCAATTAAAAAATTTTAAAAATAATATAAAATCTTAAAAAAAGAAAATGTTAATTAGCTGAGCATGGTGGTGTACACCTTTAATTTCAGCACACAGGAGGCAAAGGCAGGCACATCTCTGAGAGGCAGCCTGTTCTACATAGTGAGTTCCAGGCCAGCTGGGACAATAGGGAGACCCTGTCTCAAAAAGCGTTTATATAAAAAGTTTCTAAGGGGGAAATTTATACAGGTCCCTGCAATGGCCAAATTAAAGGGACAAGGTGTAAACTCTGAAAATCAGAATTCAGATGGGAGGCCACTTACAGGAAAGAAGTCCTCTTCACTCCCTGTGGTTCACTTTCTCTCTTTGTTAAAGTGAGAGTAATGAAGGTCCAAAATGTTTCTTTGCTCACCACTCAGGGTACAGTTTAATATTGACTGTGAACTTGACAGGACCTGGTACACCGAGCAGCCAAACTTCGGGGCATATATGTGAGGCAGTTTCTAGACTGAGTTAGTAGAGGTGGGTAGACCCACCCTAACAGTGAGTGGCATCATCCTATGGGTTAGGTTATAGAACTGAAAAAGGAGAAAGGGGGCTGAGCACACAGCATTCGTATCTATTTGTTTATTGACTTCAGACACAATGCGACCTCATCTTTGCTTGGATGCTATTTGTGTGCACTTCTTCAATTACTTGGACAAGATGCTAAGAAAATGGAAACAACTGATCTAGAAAGAGACTGGCATTAAAACTGAGAGGAAAAAATAAATTGGTAGAAAAATAATGGCTGAGGACATCCCAGCAACCAAGTCACTTACTATTGATAAAGAGGCTGTCCTTGTCCAGAGTATAGTTGCCCAGTTGGGTGACTCCATGGGACAACTGGCCAAAGCTTGAGTACAGCCCTGCTGTGTCCAGCCCAGGATGTGCAGGATCATGTTTGTAGGTGCAGATGACATCCACACCAGTTCCATTCTTTTCCCGCCTGAGGGGAGAGGGTTGTGGAGACTCTAGGGAGGTCTTAATGCAGATAGGAAACAGGAGGGAGGAGAAAGCAGAAAGGTGACAATAAAGGACAATCATTCCTGGCAGATGAATATAAAGTAGACTAACCTGAGGGAATTCAGTCTGCAACTTGAATCTATGGAGGTGTTCTGGAACAAAGGTATAAGCTGGAGGGGAAGGAGGAGAGAAAAAGAGACCAGAGATGGATAAAGCATGTTAATGGGAGTTATCCCAAGGGCATCTGGATGACGGACTCACCAAGGTCTGCAGGACACTCTCAGTGGAGTTGAACGTGGCTGAGCTATTTCTCATGTCTGCTGAATATGGGAAGTTGGAGATGGTGAACTTGATTGTGAAGTTTTTCACGTGGTGCCCCAAGGCTGTAGGAAGAGAGGAGAGGTATCTAATCTGAGTATTTGCCTTGGACCAGACTGGAATCGTGCACTCAACAGGTCATCCCTCCAAATGTACCAGCACTTACCATTGTGACCACTCAAGTCATTTCAATGTCACACCAATTCTTTCTTATGAATGTTCCTCATCTGCATATACTCTCCTTCTCTATCACTGCCCAGTTCTTATCTTCTCTTATCCAGAATGTTACCCCACCAAACTCATTAGATGTCCTATATAAAGGACTTATTCTATGCTGAACCCTAGAAAAGCATCCTGAAAAGTAAATCCAATAAGCCCACCCCAGAGCTCCTAACCACCCATGTCTCAGTGTAGTTTCAGTGTCAAGTTCAAGTTTCCTGATTTATTCTATTAGGGCCCTTTTCAATCTGATTTTTGTATGCTTTCAGCCTCAGTTACTCATCCATTCAGGGACAATAGCTATGACCCTTGTCTCCCGGGTAAGACATACAGAGGACAGACTTGGAGTTGAGCTTCATATTTCATGGAAACCACATTCCTCTCTATTCTCCCCATTCGGTGTGCTCTTGATGGACACTGAGTCCTCACTGTTGGAAACCTCCTCTTCAGAAACACTTCATACCCTATTTATCTGGATTACTCCTACTCATTCTGAGAGATTCAGACCAAGTGGAATTTCTACAGATCTCCCTCCTGTTTCTATGTTGTGTCAACTACCTATCTCCCAACAAAAATCCCTCACTGCATTGTAATGGTCTCTGTATTTCACAAGCCTGGTGGTTACATGAGGGCAGGCATCTGACTGAATTTTCAGTTCAGTATTTGAGCTTATAATGATGACCCTGACACTAGGACCCTCATATCCTAACTTTATAAGCCTCATATAGTAGACAGTAGAGGTCAGGCTATCTCATCAAATGTAGGAATAGGGGTCCTCAGATACCTGTAGTGTATTCTGCCTGCACAGATGTTGATGTAGAAGGCAAAAGTGTTTCTTGTAACAGGAGCTGTGGAAAATGGTATAATTTTGAATGGATAGAGCCCCCACTCCAGTCACATAGTCAAAGAAGTACTTATAGCAGTGGTCCAAGCCAGATCACTCACAGGTGGGTCATAAACAAAAGGAAGGGAAAGAGTGATTGTGTGAGTGGAGGGGTGACCAAGTGTATGAATGAAATTTATTCAAGGTAATAAGAATAACAAGCAGTTCTTCAGTTGGAAGGCAGAAAATGGAAAGAATAAATGGATCATAAGTGGAGAGTCAAAGGTGAATTCAAGAGGAATAAAAACAAAGAGAAATTGAAATTTTGGAAGGCAGGACAAATGAATGAATATAATGATGGCTGGATGAATGAATATATGGATGAATGAGTGGTTGAACAGGTGACTGAATGAATGGATAGGTAGATGGAGGTAAGGATGAGTTAGGTGGGTGGATAGATGATGGATGAATAGGTATATCGGTGTGTTTATGTGTATATGCATGTATGGATAGGTGAATGCATGGATAGCTGGATGCATAAGGAAAGAAAAAAAGAATGAATGCCAAGTGAATTGACAGAAAATGTAATGGACAGATGGATTGATAGATGCATACATAGGTGCATACAGGAATTAATAAGTGATTATTTAAATGGATGGATGCACGGATCGATGAGAAGGTGGGTAGGTAGATGTAGTATATATTATGTGGATAGTTAGGTGGGTGGATGGGTGGAGAAAAGGAATAAATAGAGGAAGGGTAGAATTATGAGTCAATATATAGGTATTAGTGGGAGAATGAATGGAAGTATGAATAAAGGAAGAAACAAGAGAAGGAATGAAAAGGAGACAGGAGGATGGGCATGAAAATGGGTAGGGGTGATGGAAATGTGGTGTTAGAGGAGGAATAATTAGAAAAAAATGGAAGAAGTGTTTGCTGAAAGGTAGATGAGTAGATCTCTGAATAAAGTAATGTACAGTTTTGTCTAAAATCACAGAAGTCTTCATTAGAGTTCACAACTTGGCAGTGAAGCCCCTGCTAGAACCCTGGTAGTCTGGGTTACAGGAGAAAGAAACTAAAAAGATTACTATCTGACATGAGCTTCATGAACTTGTAGGAAACACTTATTCAAACTTCTTCCTCCAAGGAAGAGGAGTATGAGAAATTCAGACATGTTACATTAGGTCTGCAAGTCCAAAAGGAGACCAAGTATTCAGTGGGTTTTGCTTTTTTATTTCTTCTGAGACCTTGCCTTCTTTCAGGAGACTGTCTTATGTTTGGGGTATGCTTCCTTTGTAAATAAGGAGGAAATCATGGACCAAGACCACGGTAAGCTGAATTATACATACTTGTAGGAATTTTATCTGGACCATGTTCATTATAACCTAGAAAACAAAAGTCACATATAAGCGAAAGGTGCAGAATGATCATACACCATGGCGTGATCATGAGGAAGTGAATGAACATCCTTTTGTTTACTTAATGAGCATCAATTCACATTCTAAGGTCCAACTTAAATATCATCACAAAGAAAAACTTTATGATACTTGATTTAGATCCAATTCTTTCCTACTACCTCTCTAGCATACTCTCCACTGGAGTCTCTCATAAAATTCATGTTCATACCCTAGTCCCCTAAAGATATGTAATTATCCATGCCATTTTCTCCCTACTGGCTCTCCCTCTAATGGATATATCATCCAGTAGATGTTTAGTGAAGGTTTGCTATATGTCTCATTTCATTTGTATTTGAGGAAAGTCATGATGACTAAAATTGTCTGTGCCTCATTGTAGGTTACATTCAGATAAGGTGAACATGAAATTTATTGTCTCTGGTGACAAGCATAAGATCCGGCTTTCAGTGAATTTTTGGTAAATGCTGACTGGGTAACAAAATGAAGCACACAAATTGTGTAGTTTATGAGAGGGTAAAACCATTGACTCCTGCAATGGCCAAGTAAAAGGGATGAGATAAACTCAGAACACCAGAATTCAGATTAGCTACACACTTATTATAAGTATACACTGATTCCTGTCACTCTTGATATCTTTGTTTTCTCTTTGTTAAAATGAGAGTAATGAAAGTGTAAGATATTTCCTTCTGCATTCCATGGCGTACAACGGTTAATACGTTAATGGTTAACGGTTAATGGTCAGTTGGACAACCTAGCATCACCACAGAGACAAACTCTGGGCATATTTGTGAGAGTTTATATACTGGGTTGTTTAGGTGGGATGGCTATGGGCAGCACTGTCCTATAGGATAAGTTCCTGGATGGAATAAAATGTATAAAGTATGCTGGAGAGATGGAGCAGTTAAGAGAGCACTGCTCTTGCAGAGGACCTGAATTCGGTTCTCAGCACTAAATCAGCTCACAACTCCCTGTAACTCTGACACCTCTGGCCTCTGCTGGCATCCTATACTCATGGGCACATACCCACATACACGCGCGCGCACACACACACACACACACACACACACATATAACTAAAATTAATAAAAATCAATTTTTTTTTTACAAAAAGGATAAAGTGAGCTGAGCACCAATATTTATATGTTTCTCCTTCCTGATTTTGGACACAACGTGACCAGCCACCTGACATTGCTACACTATTTGATGTACATGCTTCTTCAACTCTGAATAACTCAAGGTACCTGGAAACACCTGGTCCAAACAGAGACCACCAATAACATTGGGGGTGTGGAGAAAATAAAGGATGCTGGGGACACTGCGAGCAAACCACAGACCACACCTCACCATTGACATAAAGACTATTCTTCTCCAGTGTATAGTTGCCCAGCTGGGTGACTCCATGAGTAGGTTGGTTCAGGTCTGAGTATACTCTCTTTGTGTCTGGCCCAGGATGTGCAGGGTCATCTTGGTAGGTGCAGATGACATCCACACCAGTTCCATTCTTCTCAGGCCTGAGAGTAAAGGATATGACGACTCTAGAGAGGTCCTAATGTGAATGTGTACAAAAAGGAGGGACGAGCAAGCAGATTGACCACGATAAGAGATAGTTGCTCTTGGTAAATGGCCAGGAAACAGACTCACCTGAGAGAGGTTAGTCTGCAGCTTGAGTTTAAGGAAGCATTCTGGAATAATAGTCCAAGCTGCATGGGGAAAGGAGGAAGGAAAGAGAGACAGAAGTTGGATGGAGGATATGGGTGGATTTATCCCACCCAAAACTGGATGGACGGTCTCACCAGGTGCTGTAAAACCCTCTCGGTGGAGTTGAACATGGTTGAGCCATTGTTCATGTCTGCAGAATATGGAAGGTTGGAGATGGTGAAGTTGATTTTGAAGGTCTGCAGGTGGTACTCCATAGCTATCAGGAAGGCAGGAGGAGAGATATTCAAAAGTGAGAGTTCGCATGGTACTCATCTTTTCTCCTGGCTGGGTTGTCATGTTTACTCTATATTTACATGGGTTCTGAGGATTCTAACTCTGCTCCTTATGTTTGTGTGACAAACACATTACCCACTGCACCATCTCCCCAATCCCAAACTGAAGCTTCTTGATTTGGTGTTCAAGGTCCTTTCCAACCTGGTTTCTGATGATCTTCAGCCTTAGTTATTTATCCTTTCTGGGCTGAGCCTTATTTTTCATATAAACCAAGGTCCAGTTAATTACCTCCATATACTATGCTGGCTCCTGAAACCCTGCTGATGGCATTTTCCCTTCTGCCTGTACTTCATGTCTTATATATCTGGGTCACTCTTGTTCAACCTGGGAGGTTAAGTTCAGGTGGAACTTTCTCCAGAAAGCCCTACTCTCTCTATTATGCCACCTACCACTCTCACTCTCAAAATCCCTCTTTGCATTGTGATGGCCTGTTTCTGTCACAAGCATGGTGGCTGGATGAGGGCAGGTATCTGACTGAAATGATCTTCTGATTTTGTACTGTAATGATGACCCTGACACTAGAAGCTTCATATACTGGCTTCCTAACCTCATGTGGAAGTTGGTGGAGGTGTGGGGCAGGGGCTCTCCTCAAGTGAAGGAAGGGGGCCCCCAGATACCTGTTGTGATTTCTGATTGCACAGATGTTGATGGAGAAGCCAGGATGGTGGTTGCTGGCTCAGGAGCTGTGGAAAGTGCTGTCATAAGGTATTTACAGAGACTCTATGTAGTGAAAGAAGCCCTTCCAGCAGTGTTACAAGACAGAACATCTACTCAAAGGGATGACAAACTAGAGTGAGGAAAAGAGTGGTGGTATGAGTGGAGTGATGAGCAAGACTGCTATTAAAATTAATAAGATAGTAAGAGTGGTGAGTAAGAAAATGGAAGGGATGAATGAAGGGTCAAAGAATTCAAGAATGAAAACAGAGAATAGGAAAATGTGGCAGCAAGACAGAAAGCAGCAAGTGAATAAGCATCATAATGAATGGACAGATGGATGACCGAGTGAGTGAGTGTGTAGATGGTTAGGTAGATGAATCAGTGGATGAATAGGAAGATGGAAGGGTGGACGGATATATGGTTAGGTGGATCCAAAGATGAAGAGATGGAGAGATGGGTGGATGGATAGATGTATGGTGAAAGGAAGACAGAAGGAATGAAGGTCAAGTAGACATGTGGACAAAAGATGGGTGAGTAGATGGGTGAATGAGTTGGCAGATGCATAAGTAGGTGGATAGATGGGTAGGTAGATGGGTAGGTATATAAATGGGTGACTGCCAAGATGCATGTGACTGTGGTAGGCATATGGATGGAGACATGGATAGGTGGACAGATGGATGAATGGGTAGATGAATGGATGGGTGTGTCAATAGATGGAGAAAATGAAGGTACAGACAAAAAAAGACAGAATATTAATGGATGGGTGAAAACGAATGAGTGAGTGAATAAAAGAAGGAAAGATAAAAGGAGTGAAGAGTTTAAGAGCACTGACAATAAATGGATGGATGAGTGTGTAGATTGTAATGTAGTGTCAGAGAGGAGGAATAACTAGAAAAAATGGAAGAATAGATGGCTGGAAAGATAGTTGAGCAGTCAATGAACAAGAGATAGGGCGATTAACCAATATTACTTAAGTAGCTGTCAGAGATTACAACTTGACAATGAGTCCTTTTGGGGGCCCTGAGAGAGTCTGTTAACTACACATTCACTATCTGATTCTGATTTCTGACCCAGAACTTTAGGGGAAAAACTTCTGCAACTTTCTTCCCCCAACTCAGCAGAGGGTAGAAAATTCAGAAATTCAAAACTAGGCCTACAATCCCCAAAAGAGGCCCAGCTACTTGCCCTTCTTCCTTCTATTGAGACTTTGGGAGAAAGGCTTGTATTGAGCCATGCCTTCTTTCTGAGTAAGAGAGGTAGGTAAGCTGAAGGGATGAGTAGGTATTGACACGTACTTGTAGGAGGTACATCTGGACCAGGTTCATTGTAACCTAGGAAACAAAGGTCACACATAAGTGGAAGGGGCAGAGTGGCTCCATACACCATGTATTGATTCATGTGGGGCCCCATCTGAATATATATCCTTATGTATATTTATGAGCATCTAATCATATTCCCAGGTCTGACTAAAATGTGATCATAAAAAATTTCCTGATATTTCAGTGAGATTTAACTCTTCCCTATCACCTCTATGACAGGTGCCCAACAAAAGCCTCTCATAAGGTTTATATTCATATCTCCTCTGACACACATGTGTGCAGTCACATACCATCATCTTTGCTTTTATTTTCCATCTATTTATCCAGTAGCTGGTTTTGAGCACTTACCATGTGTGATACCCCATTTCCATTTGAAGCATATAGTACTAAACACTACAATCTTGTCTCAGTAGGGTTTACATTGAGACAAGGTATACATGAAACATTTGAACATTTGTTTCAGGTGCCATGGATGAAGGTTCACTTATAGTAGATGTTTAGTAAATGTTGAAAAGAGAAAAAGATGAGTTTAGATTGTGCAGGTTCCTGCAATGACCAGATTGAAGGGACCAGATATAAAATAAACCAGAGCATCAAAATTCATATTGGCCAAGTCTTCCCCTCCAGCTATTCCCTCTTAGGGAAGCACCCCTGATTGTACCCCCACTACCAGGTGGGGAGCCCAGATGCCCCTTCTTGGTCTATATTCCTTTTTCCAGTAGTGATTTATACAACTGGAAGGCTCAGAACTCGCTCTTCTCTGAGAAACTTCAGGCTCTTATTTGTTTACTGGAAACTGTTTTTTTTTTTTTTTTTTTTTTTTTCTTTTGTTTTTTTTTTTTTAATCCCCCCCCGGGGGTTATTTGAGGCGATCTTTGTGTTTTTTTTTTTTTTTTTTTTTTTTTTTCCTTTGGTTTTTTTTAATCATCAGCCCACCCGGGCTAATTGCAGGCAGCTCTTGGGAATTCTCTCTGCAGCTGAGGACAGTATCCTGACTGAGGTCCACAAAACTGTAGCAGGTCCAAGGGCACCTGGGGAGGACATAATTGCAAGGACTGAGCAGGCCTTGCCCTCCACCCAACTTAACTGAGACCCTAAGAAGGACCACGGTAAGGGGGCACTAGAGGCCCATCACCAGTCCCTACTGATCGGAATGAGAGCAGAAGCCAGGAAACCCACTAACCTTTCAAAGGTATCTGAAGTTATTCAGGGGAATCAGGAATCTCCCACTGGGTTTCTGGAGCACCTCTACCTCGCGAAGCCTATTTGAAATTTACCCCAATTGACCCAGACATTGCAGATAACCAACAAGCTATTAATCTTGCTTTAATCAGTCAGCTCTAGACGTTGGTAGAAAGCTACAGAGATTGGAAGGGTTTGCAGGAAGGAACAGGTCACAGTTGTTAGAGATAGCACAGAAAACTTTTAATAATATTCATGTGAAAGAAAGGACAAGAGGCTGGCCAAGATAGTGGTGGCTGTTTTCAGAGAAGGGGGTAAAAATGGAAAGAACCCCAGATGGCTGAACCAGCCATGAGCCAAGTTGGAAAAGGATCAGTGTGTAGTTTTGTAAAGAAAAAGGACACTGGAAGAATAACTGTCAAAAGCATAAGCAAGGAAAAAGGAAACAAGTCCTCGACCTAACAAATGTGAATGGATGGGGCCAAGGCTCCCTAATACCAATACCAAGGAGCTTAGGGGAGCCTATGGTGACAGGGAAAGTTGGAGGCTCAACTTTCTGGCTTCTAGTAGATAATGGTGCTGCACATTTAGTATTGACCAAACCACTGGGCCCGCTTACCAAGAAGAGGACTACCATCCATGGGGCAACAGGGACTGGCGCCTATGCCTGGACCACTGCTAGAAAGGTGACTCTCAGACAAGGTACTGTAACTCATTCTTTTCTTGTTATGTTGGATTGTCCATACCCCTTAATTGGCCAAGATTTGTTAAGGAAATTAGGTGCCACCATCACATTTAGTGAAAATGAAGCTACCTTGGATCTAAAAAATCCACACCCAACTATCTTAGTAACCTGCCCCTTAGAAGAAGAATACAAAATAATAGAGAAGAGCCTGGAAGAACTAAGCAAACACCCCCCTCCTCAGAGACCTAATATAAAAGGTTCCTGTAGTATAAGCAGAAACCAATTCCCCTGGATTGGCTTCTCACAGGCCACCAGTAATTGTCCAATTCCTAAGCTCTGGCTCACCTATGAGAATAAAGCAATTCCCAATTCCAAGGGACACCAAGGTTGGCATCAGAAAATATATTTACTGCCTCAGGGACACAAGAATCCTGGTCCCTTGCCATTCCCATTCAGCGTCTGAATATTCCACTGCTCCCAGTGACTAAGCCTGGCACTCAGGACTATCATCCTGTCCAAGATCTGAGGGAAGTTAATAAAAGAGTGGAAACTATCCATCTGATCATGCCAAATCCTTACACTCTACTCAGCCTCTGGCACCAGTGACCAACCCATCTTTGCCTTCGAATGGACAGACCCTGAAGCAGGGTTCAGTGGCCAACTGACTTGGACTTGATTGCCACAGGGTTTGAAAATTCTCCCACTCTATTCGACAAAGCCCTCAGTGCAGACCTGCTCGAGTATCGCCAAGAACACCCAAATATCACCCTCCTGCACTATGTGGATGAACTCATTGCTGCCCACACCCAGGAAGAATGTCAGGAAGCCAATGTGGAGCTGCTTGAGACCCTCCAGTGATTAGGCTATGGTGTGTCTACAAAAACAGTCCAATTGTGCTCCAATAATATAATTTATCTGGGGTATTGCTTAGAGAGCAGCAGTAGAACCCTGTCTCAGAGCAGAATTCAAGTCATCCTAAACATTCCTGAGCCACAGGACAAAAAGCAAGTGAGAGAATTCCTGGGGACAATTGGATAGTACAGGCTTTAAATACCTAACTTTGCTGAGACAGCAAAGCCATTATACCAAAGCCATGGAGAAAATGGCCTCCTAAGTTGGAAAGAAAAAGAAATGGATGATTTTGAAAGGATTAAACAGCTCTGATGTCAGCCCCAGCACTGGGACTGCCTGACATTACCAAACCCTTCCATTCATTTGTGGATGAACAACATGGGGTAGCAAAGGGTAACTCAAACTTTGGGGCCCCAGAAGAGACCTGTGGCCTGTTTGTTCAAAAGACTGGACCCTGCTGCAGCAGGATGGCCAGGCTGTATCCGAGCTATTGCAGCTACAGCACTGTAATTAAAGGAAACCGATTAACTATGGGACAGGAGTTGGTGGTCACTACTCCATGTGCTATTGACATGCTTCTTATGGGAGCCTCCAAATGTTGGATGTCAAATGCCCGCATTAGCCACTATCAAGCTCTCTTGCTAGGTGCACATAGGGACAAATTCTCACCATCTGTTGTGCTGAACCCAGTGTCCCTCCTGCCTGACTCCGCCCATGACTGTGCCCAGGTTACTGATCATCTACAGTATGGATGACCAGACCTTTGAGACCAGCCCCTGGGGAAGGTGAACACAACCCCGTATACTGATGGAAGGAGCTACATACAGGATGGAGTCAGGTATGCAGGAGCAATTGCAGTAATTCTGAGGTGATTTGGGCCCAGTCTTTACCCCAGAGAACTTCAGCCCAGAAAGCAGAGCTAACAGCTCTAACCCAAGCAGAGATGGGGAAATGAATGTGCTATCAATGTCGATACTGATAGCCAATATGCCTTTGCCACTGCACATGTCCATGATGCCTTGTACTAAGAATGGGGCCTGCTTAATTCAGCAGGAAAAGAAATTTAAAACAAGGAAGAAATTATCACCCTATTGTCAGCTATCTGGTTGCCTGAAAAACTTGCTTTTATCCACTGCCCAGGACATCAGAAGGGGGACTCAGCTGAGGCAAAGGGCAACAGATTTACTGATGCTACAGCCAGAGGCATGACCATAGAGCCACTGGGGCCCCTTCAAACATTAGGCCCCCCCTTCCAATCCTTACGCTGCTGTGTGAACTGGACCTGCTGGAAAAACCTGTGTACGCTAATAAAGAGAAATGGGCTCAAGACCAAGGGGCTACTAAGAAAGAGGAGTGGTGGGTCTTCCCAGACAGATGACCCATCTTGCCCACTGCTCTGGGGTCATCTCTTCTCTTTCAACTTCACCAAAGTACACACTTAGGATCAACCAAATTAAGGGAACTGATCAGAAACAGGTTCTTCATGCCCCATCTGGATGAAAAGGTACTAACATCTTAATATTAACCACCGCTGTGCCACCTGTGCCCAAGTAAATCCAAGGGGGGGTAATTCGGTGCCCATGGATATCCAGGAAAGAGTCCCAGTGAACACTGGGAAGTGGACTATGCTGAGGTTACTCCAACAAGATTTAGATATCGGTGTTTGCTACTATTTGTGGATACGTTTTCAGGGTGGGTGGAGGCTTTTCCCACCATTTCAGAGACAGCCCTTCTCTTAATAGATGTCTAGATACCTTGACAGTAAGGCACTTTCTGATTAAGTGCAGCTGCAGTGTCTGGGCGGACCAAGGTCAGCTACTCCAAAGAAAGCACTCTTCTAAAGGGGAAGCAACCAAAGGGTTGCCCTTCTAAAGGGTCTGCCTGTAGCCCCAGCTGGCCTGGAACTCACTGTGTAGACCAGGCTGGCCTTGAACTCACAGAGATCCACCTGCCTCTGCTTCCCCAGTGCTGGGACTAAAGGTGTGCGCCACCACACCCAGCCAGGACTAGTACTTTAATGGAGCTAACTTTCCTTCTTATGTATGATAACATCCAGTTTATTAAGCAAGGACCTATAGTAATATCAATAAGTAATAGAAGAAGGGGTCCTACTATGACAGTTAATAGGGTGGTGAGCCAAGGAGACCAGGAGAGAGACTTGTACCAACTGGAAGCTTTAGCTGGGTCTTTGGCTCTTTGATCTAGGTTTTGTTTTGCTAAGGCTAGGGTTTCTCTAATTACTCCTGAATTGTTCACTTTTATAAAAATAGCATTTTTCACCTAAAGCTAAGCAAAGACATCTTTTTTTTTTCCTTTTTCTTTTTATTTTATTTTCTATTTTTTTGTCTTTTTGAGACAAGGTCTCCCTGTAGCCCCAGCTGGCCTGGAACTCACTTGGTAGACCTGGGTGGCCTTGAACTCACAGAGCTCCACCTCTGCCTCCCTAGTGCTTGATTATAGGTCAGGTGTGTGCCACTAGGCTCGGTTAAAGGCATCCTTCTTTTAAAAACAATAGATCCAGCCACCTATGGTTCTGTAAAACCATTTCTGCTAACTTGAGCATCCTGCCCATATTCAGGACCACCTGGCATTACTCATGTGTGATGAAATTCCTATGGTATTTGTGGCTTTATAAACTAGTTTCACTCTCCCTTCAGGGCCGTGGGTTCTAAATATGACCAAGGGACCACAGATGGCTATAGCCCTAATAAATTTGACCAATTAAAATTTGAATTGAGTCTGGTGATCTTTTTCCCAATGATTTCAAACTCCATAACACTAACTACTCCCATGGCTGCCAAGGTAGGGGAACCAAGGCATGAATTCACCAGTGTCACCTGGAAGTAGACACCACCAACAAAAAGGGAGAAAAATGGAAAGTGTCACAAGATCCACAGCATCCCCTAAAGATGTGGTTCATTCAAACCTTGGACTCAGACTAGTATTGATACTGGGAAGCCTAACTGGTACTTGTCATATGTGGTCAGCTAGGAACTGAAACCTGGGATTGGGAGTGGAACTGAACCTCAGACGGAAAAGTGTTCGGTATTTTTCAAAAACGCCACCTCCCAGCCTGTATTTAAACAAGATTTGTGTCACCTCTTCTATAACAATGAGGTTATCGCTAAATGGTACGGTTATTACAAAATACACCCAGGTTGTGGGATTAAGATTCGGGAATGGGGAATATGTCATTTCAGTTTCAGGCTTGCCTGGCCAATGGACCGGCACATTGTCATAAATGGATAAGCCATTACCATTGTTCATCCCTAGGCTGTGAAACTGAGTCACGCAAAGATTCATTTTTTTCATTTACAGCAGGAAACTCCCTCCCAAGACTGTGTTCCAGAGAAGTGCAACCCTTTCACTCTGAGAGTTGTGGCATGGAATAAGTTAATGTTCTTACATGTAGAACCTAGGGGCTTAAGCTTAAATCTAAAACATGTGGAAATGACCCTCTTGTGGAATTTACTATTTAGAGGAAAATACCCCCCACAGAACTCATATTACAGAGTCAGACAGGAGCTGGCTACCCCATCCTAAGTCTAAGCCACCCACCTCCTCTTCCCTTACCCTTACTCACTCTTGTGAGTCAGGCTCTTGTCACTACTACTGAAACCAGTTATTTGTCCCTGTAAACTTTTACCCCTATGGCAAGGAATGGTCCCAGCCTCAAATGAAATATCTGAGATTAAAACCTTAAGGTTAATACATAATTGGATAAATTATACTGCTACTAATTTGGGACAAGAATGTTGGTTGTGCCCAGATCCCAGACCTCCCTTTCATGTGGGGATAGGGGTCAATATTTCTATTTCTCTTACTACCACCCCACAGGAAGGCACAGATTGCAGATCACAAGAAACTAGGATAACCTTAGGGGACCTACAAAAAAAGGGAAGCCTATGTGTACTGATCTATGCTCTTCCTTGTGTATACATATACAATGGGCCTCAATTAAGAAACCAATATTTAAACAATCGTTCATCAACTCAAACAGAGGGCAGCCCCAGTTGTACCCTCCCCCTCCTAGTAGGAACCAGTATTACAGGCTCTGCCACCTTAGGAGTGTTGATCAAGATATGGACTATCTTAGAAATTCCATAGTAGGCTCTCTAGCAGAAATGGTTTTACAGAACCATAGGTGGCTGGATCTATTGTTTTTAAAAGAAGGATGACTTTAGCCGAACCTGGTGGCACACACCTGACCTGTAATCCCAGCACTAGGGAGGAAGAGGTGGAGCTCTGTGAGTTCAAGGCCACCTGGGTCTACAAAGTGAGTTCCAGGCCAGCTGGGGCTTCAGGGAGACCTTGTCTCAAAAAGACAAAAAAAAATAAAAGATGGCTCAGCAGGTAAAAGAGCTTTTTGCTGCATGAGCCCTACAACCTGAGTTTGATCCTTGGAGTCCATGCTGGAAGTAGTCTTGACTCCTGATTCCTGAGCTGTCTTCTGACCACACATGGGCTGTGATATGTGTGCACCTTTACTTACAAACCATACACACACACTAAATAGAAAATTGACAAAGATAAAGTTGAATGCAATGTGACATTTCAGTGATCCAAGCACTTGAAAAATGGACCTGGTCTCCTTGGCTCACCACCCTATTAACTGTCATAGTAGGACCCCTTCTTCTATTACTTATTGACATTACTATAGATCTTTGCATAATAAACTGGATGTTATCATACATAAGAAGGAAAGTTAGCTCTATTAAAGTACTAGCCCTGGCTGGGCGTGGTGGCACATGCCTTTAGTCCCAGCACTTGGGAGGCAGAGGCAGATGGATCTCTGTGAGTTCAAGGCCAGCCTGGTCTACACAGTGAGTTCCAAGCCAGCTGGGGCTACAGGGAGACCCTGTCTCAAAAAAAAGACAAACAAAAAAAAGTACTATACCTGAGAGTGCAGTACCAATGCACAGCCCATGTGAATCAATGATTGATTCATATGAGCCAGAGCCAGTGGGGAATGTAATGGCCCCAAATGGAGTTCCCCAAATTGTAATAGCCAAAATAACGTCATTTTGTATAAATTGAACTTTAAACTTCAAAAGCTAGAAAAACAGCCAGCTTCAAGGTTAAGCTCCTGAACTTAGTTGCTTCCCCTTAGAAGAGTGCTTTCTTTGGAGTAGCTGACTTTGGTCACCTCCCAGACACTGCAGCTGTGCTTCTTGTCTAGCCAAGAAGCCAAAAAAAAAAAGCTTAGTAACTTTCCCTTGGAAGAATGTTTCTCTCAGACACTGCAGCTGTGCTTCTTGCCTAGCTGAGGTAATGACTAAAACAATACCCTGTCTTTCTTGGTAATATGCTGAAATAATAAGAATCAGAAAGCTCCTTACTGTCAAGGTCTCTATACATCTGTTAAGAGAAGGACTAACACAAGCTTGTTCTGGCTTCTGTAGTTTGCTTAACTGATAACTTGGGCCATCCTGATCATATTCAGGACCACCTAGCACTACTCGTGTGTAATGAAATTCCAGTGGTGTTTATAGTTTTTGACTTTATAAATTATTTCACTCTCCCCTGGGGCCATGGGTCCTGAATCTGACAGGGACCACAGACAGCTAATAAATTTGACCAATTAAAATTTGAATTGGGTCTGATGATCTTTTTCCCAGTAATTTCACACTCCATAACAGTGTGACCAGGTGTCTCACTTTCCCTGATATGATGAACTGTATCCCTTTGAACTTTAAACCCTTTGAACTTTAAAATCCTCTCTGAAGTTGCTTTTTCCAGGTATTTGCTCACAACGATGAAGAATGATGCTATTACATGGGACAATGGTGACACAAGAGTGTGCTTCCAAGTACTGTTTCCAGGTTGGAGATGGAGGAAAGGGCAAGGAGGGCAGAGGAGGGGAGACGAGGGGAGAGAAGGGAAGGCAGAAAAAAGGAGGGGAAGGGGAGAGGAAGGAGGGGGAGGGAAAGGAAAGGAGGGGAGGGTGGAGGGGGAGATGGGGAAGGAGGGAGAAGAAGGAGTAAGAGGGAAATGAGGAGAAGGAGGAGGTGGGAGGGGGAGAGAAGGGGAAGGGGGGAGCAAGGTAGGGGTACTGAGAAGGGACACAAGGAAGGAGACACGGAAGGGGAAGTGAGGGCCAAGGGGATCAGAGGAGTGGTAGAGCGAGTGTAGGTAAGGGCAGTGTATTAGTTACTTTTCTGTTTCTGTGATAGAAACACTGACCAAAGCAACTTATAGAAGGAGGAGTTTATTTAGCTTATAGTTCCAGAGGGGCATGACTCCATCATTGCAGAGTGGCATGGTGGCAGAGGTAGCTGGAGAAGTAGAAGCTAAGATCTCACATCTTCAAGCAGTCATAGGAAGCAGGAGAACGAATGACTCAAGGTGTGGCAAGGCTAAAGAACTTTGTAAGTCCCATGCCCCCTCCACATGTTCCTCCAGCATAGCCACACTTTCTAAGACCTCCCAAAACAGTGCCACCAACTGGGGGCAAAATGTCCAACTACTTAGAGCTTATGGGGGACATAGTCATTCAAATCATCACAGGGAAGGAAAGAAAAAAGGGAACTATATGATCATTTTTTCCATAGCCATGTCTTGAATTCAAATGTGACACAGGGCACGCTTCTTAAAATTTGTCCTTTCCTGGAAAGACTGTTCTGTGAGGTATTTGTCAAGACCACCGTGCTGGAGAGGACAACTGGGGCTCATATCATATGAGCCTGTTTCTTCATCTGGAAAGCAGGACTTGTCTTACAGGTTGGAGGTAAGACTTTGGTGGGGAAGCCCAGATTTGAATCCAAACCTCTCCCTAAAGAACTGATAACTGGATATTTGTGGGATTCAGGAGTACAGGGATATGGAGCTGGAAAATGCTCACCATTGATGTAGAGGCTGTCTTTGTCCAGAGAGTAGGGACCCAGCCGGGTGATACCACGAGTTTGCCAGCTCAGGTCATGGAAAATATGCTTGGCAGGAAACCCAAGATTGCTGAGGACCTGACGGTAGGTACAGAGGACATCCACCTGGGTCTGGGCACCATTCTTTACTGACCTGGGGAGAAAAAAAGACGTATGCTTTGGGGAGATTCAGACCCCTCTCCACCCCTTCTCCTGTAGTCATTTCACACCGCATAGCCTACATTCTGGCCTTGAAACCATTTGCTGCTTTGCCCTCTAACTACACTTTCTTAACAGGATCTCCACACCTATGATAATTTATGTTTGTAAGCTTATCCCCTTCCATCTTTGCGTAGGTTACTTCTTGGTTAGCCTTCGGATCTCAGCTTTAGTTTTGCTGTTTCCAACTCTTCATCATCCTCCCCTTCTCTTTTCTACTGTTCTCCCCTTCCTCCTCTATTTTTCTTCACCTCCTATTTTTCTTCTCCTTCTTCTTCTTCTTCTTCATCCTTCCTCCTCTCTAGTTTTCCTCCCTCGTCTCCTTTTCTTCTTCTTCCCCTTCCTCATGTTCTTCCCCTCCTCTTTCTCCTCCCTCTTTTTTCCTTCTCATCCTCTTCATCTTTCCTCTCTTCTTCCTAGTCTTTTCCATTCTCCTTCTCTCTCTCTTCCTTCTCCCTGTGGTGTAGCAAATTCCCATCAGATACGTTCCATTCTGTGGAGAAGCTCATTCAGACTCAACATTCTAAAGGGAGACTCAGTAAGACTCACAAGGAAATAACTCAAAAAGGCTCAGAAAGTTCCTGAAACTTAGCAGACTCACAATTCCCTCTCTCTCACAGGTTATATTACAAAGGACTGCTGGGGACAGGAAACTCTCCAACCCATAAAGCTGCCTACGAGCCATGCAGAGAGTTCCAGGGTTGCAGTTTTCAGGAGTTCTCATCCCTGGGGTGGGCTTTCAATGATGAGGCTGCCTTTGAGTTGTCCATGCTTTTTTGTTTCTTTATATTTGGTCTTTTTGAGACAGGGTCTCCCTGTACCCCAGCTATCCTGGAACTTTATGTAGACCATGCTGGCCTTGAACTCACAGAGATTCTCCTGCCTCTGCCTATTTCTTGTAAGTAAGCCCTCACCAAAACATCTGTAAGTAACCCCAATAAACCCATCGGTTCATGAAGTTGAACTTTGGTGGCATTGCTAATGTGGTCTGTCATAAGTTCCCTATCTGGTAAATATTTGTTCATGTCTCCTCAGGAATAATTTCACACCACTATCCCCCCTGCTGTTCAGCTTCCTCCTTTTCCTCTTTCCTTCTTCAGTGATTTTTAGACCATACCAGCAGATTCTTCTGAATCCCACAGTCTCTCATCCTCTCATCATAGCACTAGTCATATGTAATCATGAATGATCTGTGCCAGTTTCTTCCAGAATGCAGGCTCCATGAGAGCAGGAAAGGGACCATTTTGTTCAATCCTGTCATATTGAAACCCCAGCACATTTGCCTACTCCACAGAAAACTCAAAGCCATGATGTAAAGACAAGGAAGACATGGCATTTACACACAAGTGAAACATTATTCAGTCCTGGAAAAGAATAGAATTTTAACACATTACAACACAGATGAAATTTAAGGACATTATACTCAGTAAAATAAACAAAGTCACCAAATGATTAAGAGAAGTCTTCAGATACACAGAAACAAAAAGCATAATATTAGGTACAAGGGTCTGGAAAGGGAGAGGGTTAGTATTTAATGGGGACAGAGATTCAGTTCAGGAAGATGAGAAAGTTCCATACATGGATGGTGGTGATGGCTGCACAACATGAAAATACTTAACACTATTGAAGTGTCTACTTGGAAATGGTTTAATTGATACTACTCTGTGGACAGGTGTCCTCCAAAGACTCATGTGTTAGAAACTTGGCTCCAGGTTGCTGCTACCAAGAGCCTTTAGGAAGGAGGACCTCCTGGGAAGTCCTTAGAACACTGGGGATGTGCCTTCAAATGTTAGCACTGGATCCTAACACTCATTCTCTTTCATTTCCTGGCCCTGAAGTAAGTGGGTTTGTTGTTGTTGTTGTTGTTTGTTTGTTTTGTTTTTCCTCCATGTGTGTCTGTGGTCTTTTCTGCTAGAAGCCAAAAGCTATAGACTCAACTCGTCTTGAATTGAAATGTCCAGAACCATGAGCAAACAGAAACAAATACAAAAAACTCTATAAGCAAATTGCCTCAGGTATTTCATTATAGTAATTTGAGCTAATATAGATGGTAAGTTTTATGTTATGTATATTTTACCACAAGTAAAAAGGAATCAGGAGTGGGGGAGTGTGCTGGATAGATTTAGTGTCAACTTGACACACCTGGGTTGAGGGAGCCTTAGTTGGGGAATTGCCTCTATTGGACTGGCCTGTGGCCATATCTGAGGGGCATCTTCTTGATGAGTGATATGGGAGGGCCCATCCCACTGTGGGTGGTGCCACCCCTGGGCAGGTGGGCCTATGTTGCATAAGAAAGCAGGCTGAGCAGGGGCCAGGGGAGCAAGCCAGTAAGCAGCGTTCCTCCATGGCCTGTGCTCCAGCTCCTGCCTTCAGGTTCCTGCCCTGAGTTCCTACCTTGGGCTCCCTGATGAACTGTGACCTGGGAGATGTAAGCTGAATAAACCCTTTCCTCCCAGAGTTGGTAGTGGTCAGAGTGTTTTGTCACAGCAGTGAAGAAACAAACCATGAGAGAAATTGGTACCAGAGAGTGGGATATTGCTATGACAGACCTGACCTTGGCATTTTGGGGAGGACTGTGGAAGTGTTTGGAACTTTGGGCTGGAAAAGCCATTGTGTGCTCAGAGTTTGTTCCAGTGGAGCTTGGAACAATTATGCTGAAAGTTGGAGACGGTGGAGGCCTGGCTTGTGAAGCTTCAAAGGGAAGCGGAGACTATCAGGGCTGTTCGTGTGAGATTTTGGATTGAGAATCTGTGGGTTCTGGTTGGCTGGGGCTGAAGAATCAGCTCTGATTAAGAAGAGACCAGAACCTGAAGCAAAACCTTTGCTTTACTGGGACAAGTGATACTGGTTAGCTGGGGCTGAAAAATCAGCTGTAACTAAAAGAGCATCACTGTGGTGGAGTCTTCTGGGAGGTATTTCCTCAGGGTCAGCACACAGAGGGGACCCGCACCTCTATTTCAAGCTGGAAGCAGGACTTGGTAATGTGTAAGAGTCTCCTGCATGGTTCTGGTGTTGAAAGCGTGAAGAGGTCACAGAGCAGCTGAGGCTTGGCACTGTGAGAGGCCAGGAAAGGCCATAGGTGAAAGTGCAGCTTCAGTTGCAGCGAAGACCCCAGGATTGAAGGGGTCATGGAGAGAATCTGAGGCTTTGCACCCCAAGAGGCAAGAAGAGGCCATTGGTGAAGGTGTAGCCTCAGTTTCAGGGGAGACCCCAGCTTTTTGGAGATGCCGGGACTGTGGGACGACCACCAAGGACAGCGGCAGGTGTGGAATGGAGCTGGCCTGGGTCTGCGAGATGAGCTGAGTGTGCTGTGGACTGCAGAGTCGAGCAGTGGAGCTGCCAGTACCCTTTGGAGCCCAGAAGATCATGAGTGAATCCCAGATATCCAGCCTCGAGCTACTTTGATGGACTTTGGTTTTGCTTAGGTGTGCCTGAGTCTTCCCTTTGAAATAAGACAGTACTTGTTTTGGATTTTACAGAAGCCCACCCACAGTTGAGATTTTTAAAAGAGACTATGGACTTTAAAGTGTTTGGACTTTTTAAGGTTGTACTGTCTTAAGTTGTGATATTAACATCATATCTTGGGGAACAGAAATTGGAAAGTTATGGTTTAATAGTGACGTTTGTGTGTCAAGCTGACAAGGGGTCAACTGTGCTGGATAGCTTTAGTGTCAACTTGACACACCTGGGTTGAGGGAGCCTCAGTTGGGGAATTGCCTTTATTGGACTGGCCTATGGCCATGTCTGAGGGCCATCTTCTTGATGAGTGATGTGGGAGGGCACAGCCCACTGTGGGTAGTGCCACCCCTGGGCAGGTGGCCCTGTGTTGCATAAGGAAGCAGGCTGAGCAGGGGCCAGGGGAGCAAGCCAGTAAGCAGCGTTCCTCCATGGCCTGTGCTTGAGCTCCTGCCTCCAGGTTCCTGCCCTGAGTTCCTACCTTGGGCTCCCTGATGAACTGTGACCTGGGAGATGTAAACTGAATAAACCCTTTCCTCCCCAAGTTGGTAGTGGTCACAGCAGTGAAGAAACAAACCAGGACAGGGAAACAGCTCAGTGGGTCAGAATGCTTGCTATGCAAGAATGAGGAACCGAGTTCAAGTTCCCTAGCACCTGTGTAAAAAGCCAGACATGACTATGTGGCTGTAACCGAATTACTGGAAGGCAGAGAGTTGGATGGGGGAGCTTACTGGTCAGCAAGCCAGTTATTTTATAACAATTTAATATTTTATGGTGCTGGGATCAAAATTAGGGCTTTATACAAGATAGGTAAGTGATGGACAGCTGAGCCACTCACTGAGGAATTCTAGGCAGGAGTTCTACCACTGAGGCACACGACCAACCTCTCACTGGGGGATTCTAGGCAGGGATTCTACCATTGAACCATGCCCCCGACCCCTCATGGGGACATTCTAGGCAAGCACTCTACCACTATGAAACAATAAAATAAAATTGCTAAAAGATGCAGAAGACACAAACAAGACAAAACAGTACATCTCACTCCAAAGTGTCTGATATTATCACAATTCTGAGTTCTTTCAAGTTTGATGATGGATGGGTAAGGAAGGGGAGTAGGGATCGGAGTGGGAGCTGTGTCTCACCTTAGGCCAGCCACCTTGCAGCCTGTATATAGAGGACCGAGGCTGCTTCTCCGGAACAAAGGGCTGAGCTATAGAGGAAGAAGGAACCCAGAGTTGATTAGAGGCAGCAGCAGCCCTAGGACATGCATGGAGGGCCACAAATGGGAAGCAGGAAGCTCACCAGGTGCTGCATGAGTGTATCTGTGATATTGAACTTGGGGGAGCCAGCCTGGCCCATGTCAGCTGAGTAGCGCAGGTTGTTGATGGTGAAGTTCACTGGGAACATCGCCTCACTTACTTCCCCAGCTGTGGCAGTTGGAAAGAGAGAGAAAGCGTGCAGGGCAGTAGGTAGATGAGGAGTTGGGGGCAATATATGCCTTAGAAAGGGGCTTCCAGAGGCCCTGCCTCCCAGTAAATCCCAGGGTTGCTTGTTAATGGAGACAATTCCAGCAGGAACTTAAGGGTACCCTTGATATGGAGGATCCTGACAGACCATTTCTGCCCACCCACCTGCAGGATTCAATGAAAACAGGGGAAAGGCTCACACTACCAGCTAATGCAAAACTGGCGACTGCGAATGTCTGTCTGTTTCTCGGTCTCTCACAGATTCCTCCCCTTCTCCCTCTCTTTTCACCTCTGGTCCCTCCTTTCTCCCTCCCTTTCTTCTCCTCTTCCCTATCTCTCTCCCTTCTTTCTCCCTACTTCCTCTCTTCTTTTTCTCCCTACTTCCTCTCTTCCTGTTCCCCTCCCCTTCCTACCTCTGACCCCTCTGTCCTCCCTCCCTTTCCCCCCTTCCTCTTTCCTCTTCCTCCTCTCCCTCTGTCCCCTCCTCTCTCCCTTTCCCCCTTTCCTCCCCTTGTCCCCTTCCCCGTTCTTCCCATTCCTCCTTCCCCCACCTCTCCTCCCTCTCCCTCCTCCCTCTTTGCTTTCCCTCGCTCTTTCCTTCCCTTCTCCCTCTCCCCTTCTCATTATTTCCCTCTTCCCTTCTTCCCTCCTGCACACTGTGCTCCACCTCCTTTCTCTTCTTGCCTCCAATCTCCCATTATCCTATCTTCAATCCCAGTAAAACACACACGCATGTGCACGCGCGCGCGCGCGCGCGCGCACACACACACACACACACACACACACACACACAAAGGGATGCAGATAGGGGAGAGAATCTAAATGTGATCAAAATATATTGTATGAAATTCTCAAAAATTCAATTAAAAAAAGAATGATTTAAAAAACAAAATATAATCTTTAAAAATTTTATTATTTTTATTTCATGTGTATGAATGTATCGCCTGCATGTATGTAAGTGCACCCATGTGCAATGCCTCTGGAGGTCAGAAGAACGCATTGGACTCCCTTGGAACTGGAGTTACGAATGGTTGTTAGTCGCCATGTGGGTGGCTGGGAATCGAACCCAGGTCCTCTGCAAGAACAGCTAGTGCTTTTAACTGCTGAGCCCTATCTCCAGCCCTGTAGCTTTTTTTTTTTTTTTTTAAATAAAAGAGAGAGACATGAAAACGAAGAAAAGCAAACAGAAACAATCTCAATCAACCAAAAGTCAACCTGCTACTTATTCAACTAGAAGTTTGGGTACTAATCAAATACAACTGCAATTGACAAGTGTGAATTTAGCTTTGCTTCTAAATTTATCTATGAATGCTATCCCCTTGTCTTCCTTTGGAGGACCTGAACTACCTTTGGTTTGATGTTTCCCATGTCATGAAAAAAAGATTCTTTAAGACAGCATTGTGGCATACTCCTTTAGTCCCACCATGGGGTGGGGGTGGGGGGCAAAGGAAGATGAATTTCTGTGAGGTGAGGCAAGCCTGGTCTATATAGTGAGTTACAAGCCAGCTGGGGCTATAGAGAGACCCTGTCTAAAAAACAAATAAACAAACGTACAAAATGGGACTGGAGAGATGGCTTAGGATTTAAAAGCACTGGCTGTACTTTCAGAGGTCCAGGGTCCAAATCCCAGCACCTATCTGGCAGCTAACAACCATCCGTAACTCCAGTTCCAAGGGATCCAATGCCTTCTTCTGGCCTTCACAAGGACTGCATGACACGGGTGCACATACATACATGCAGGCATAACACTCATGCACATAAAAATAAAAATTAAAAACCAGAAAAACAAAAAATACCAAACAAAAATGTCACCTTGCCTCTGTTTACCTCTTAACAACAATAAAAGCAGGTTTGTGGGAGAATAAAATTTAAAGCTGTGTGAGAGTCAGAATGTGGGAGGAGACTCTATCTGTGCCTAAGTCTTTCTCACCCTCAGCTTGGAGTCTTCACCAGGACCCAGAAGAGAGAGAAAGAGGAGGTGTTTCTCTCACTAAGGTGATGGAGGATGTCATTGATGCTGAAGTTGACAGTAGCTACAGTAGATGAAGGGAGAAGTCTCCAGTTTGGGATGTAGTGGTGACTAAGGATCCCTCCAGACATAGAACAGGAGCTGAAACAGGGGAAGTTCTAGAACTCCTAAGTCATGGAGCCCTTTCTTCATTCATCCAGTGAGCATTTATTGAGTCCCTAACGTGTGCAAGGTTCTGCGATAGGCTCTGTGGGTCCAAAGATACAGGACATAGTCTCCAAATTATTTGGCCAGGAAAGTGATCAGACTATTATGCTTTGGGAAAAGGTGGTTGGAAGATGGCTATTAAAATCAAGGTGGGGCACCCAACCAATGATGGTAGAAAGGTTTTTGGAGAAACCACCATCTGTTGTATAGCGAATCTCCTCTGAGATAAACACCCCATCCTGAAGGTAAGCTGGGTAAACAACAGGATGTTTTGAGAGGAGGTGAAACATTCCATCCTGTAGGGAAGTTTGTTAAGCTCAGGAAGTAAACAGTTCAATGGCTTCAGTAAGTCCCTAAAATTGACCAGGTCCACTAGGCCTCTCCTTCAGCATGACTGCTTAGATACTCTTTCAGACAAGGCACTGGAAAGAAGCAGAGACCAGTTGAGCTGCCCTGAAGAGGCTCGAACCAACTGAGCTCCCGGAAAGGACACTCTCCAATCTCTTGAACTACCTGCAGGTTGTGCAGTGATCTTCAGGTTTTCTGCTTTAATGAGCAGTCACCCTTCCTGGGGTGGGCTTTGATGCTGCAAGTGTCTTTGCTTCACTTCTAATCCTGTAAGTAACTCCTCACCCATACTCCATAAAATTTGTTGGCTCACCAAGTTGGACTTTGGTCTGTCATTGGTTTCCTATCTGGGGTGAGTAGAAATTTGTTCACGTTTTCCAAGGAATAGTCACATGACACCATCTCAGGGGCCCCTGAAAGTGAAGGAAGAACCAAGGCAATGAGGCCCAGCAGTACTCACTGGTGGTGGTTGGGACTGCCACTCCAAAGCTGTAACCTGCATAGAGAAGAGAAGGAAACAGAACATTTGGATAAACATAAATGACGAAGGGGAAAGAATGGTTTGGGGACTTTGAAGCAAAAGCAAAAGGAAAGAGGCAAAAGGGGAATCTTCATGAAGGAGACAACCACACAGTGATTTTGAAGGGGGCTGAGCTGGCCGTGGTCTCTCTGGTGGCTTTACACCTGATTTTAGACAAAAGGCTGAGAAGTGGTCCTATAACATTTGTTTTGTGTGTTCTGAGGGTGGAACCCAGCGCTCTGTGCATGCCAAGTGAGCATTCCACCACTCAGCTGCACCCCTAACCCCCATGATGGTTTTCAGCCATCACAATGACGCTGGAACTCAGACAGAAAAAGAAGGAAAAATGGGACAAAGACCATTCTAGAAAGCGTGAAGTTCTGCTCAGAGCTTTAGAAGAATCCAAGACCCTAACTGGGAGACAGAACATGACTGAAAAAATGGCTTCTTACCATTAATATAGAGACTGTTATGGTCTAGAGTGTAGGGGCCCAGTTGAGTGATGCCATGGGTTTCATGGCTCAGTTCCCAGTACAGCTGCTTTCTGTCCAACCCAGGACTCAGGGAGTAAGTGTGGAAGGTACAGATGATATCCACTCCAGTGGCTGCTCTACCCCTCTTAGACCTGGAGAAGGAAAGACATGGAAGCATGGAACAGTAAGAGTTCTTGAGCATTCTGAGCATGGAAAGCAAGGGGCAGAAGGGAAAAGGCTGAAAGACATGCTTGAGGGGGTCCCTGTTCAGCATGGAAGCAGCCAGAGTGGTCTGCGCCCGATTCCCTAAGAATAGGAGGTAGGAATTGGCTAGGTAGTTAGAGTAAAAAGACCCCAAAGAAAAGCATCCAGTTTCTTGGCTAAAAGTCAAAATGTCCTTGGGCCTTTCTGTTTCAAAGGCCAAAAATGGCAAAAGTATTTGGGAGCTCTTATCTAATCCCTAAAAGATTTTAGGGTTACCTCTTTAGAGGGAGGAATTTAGAGTAGCAAAAAGCCCCATAAAAAAGAAAGAAGAAAGAAAGAAAGAAAGAAAGAAAGAAAGAAAGAAAGAAAGAAAGAGAAAGAAAAAGAAGAAAAAGAAAATGAAGTTATCAGAAAAAAGTTATAGAGAGATATGGGAGGTATTGGAGGGGAGGGAGTGGGCATGGATTTGATCAAAGTATCTTATATGCATGTATGAAATTCTCAATAAAGTTAAAAAAAAGAGATGCTTATAAGGGGCTAACTTTGAATTTTGAGGTGGATCTCCATTGCCCCATCCTAACACTAGGATCAGAAAACATTTTTTCTTTTCTGTTTATTGTATTCTGTGTATTGTGTATATGTGCACATGTTTGTATAGGGGGTAGATGCACATGTACGTGTATGTATGTGTGCACACATGTGGAGGCTAAAGGTCATTCCTCAGAATGCTATCTACTTTGCTTTTTATTTTATTTATTTTTGTGTTTGTGAGGGCTGTGTGTGTGTATGATGTATACATGTGTTTGTATGTGTGTGTATGCATGCCATGGTGAGCATATGGAAGTGAGGGAACATCTACCAAGAGTCAGTTGTTACCTTCCACCTTGTTGAGGCAGGGTCTCTCATGTTCTTTCTGCTACACTGCATAATCTAGGCTAGCTGACCCATGAACATGGAAGCTATTCTCCCGTCTCTGCCTCCCAACTCTCTGTAGAAGTGCTGATATAACAGATGCATACCACCATATCTGACTTTTAGGGCCTGGGAATCAGACTCAGATTGTCAAATTTTTATGGCCAGAGTTTTTACCCACTAAGCCATCTTTCCATCCTTGCAACCTGTTTTTGTAGGGTGTTTTTTGAGATGAGGGTCTCTTACTAGGACCTAGGGTTTGCTCATTAAGCCAGGCTGGCTAGCTAGTGAGCCCTAGGGATCTGTCTGTCTTCACCTCACCAGTACTGGGATTAAAAGTGCATACCACCACATCCAGCTTTTTTGCATGGGTTTTGGTGACTGAGTCCAGGTTCATATGCTTCTGTGGGAGGCACCCTAACAAGTAAGCCATCTCCCCAAACCTTCAGGAAACATTTTAGTGAGAATTTACATTTGGGATGTGCAGTTATCCTACTTATAAAAATCTCCTTATTTCAAATAAAAATGTCACTTAGATTTTCTACACTAAACATAGTTCTTCATTTCTAAGCTACCAAATACTCAAACTTCATTTGACCTGGGAAGAAAAAGGACATAAGCTTGCCATGGTAGCTGATAGACAGTGGTCTTAGAAGTGCATGATCTCTTCTGACTGGTTCACCAGAGTCTACTCATCCTGGTGAACCACTCCATCTAGAAGTCTCACCTGAGTGAAACCAGGCTGCATCCAGCATAGAGAGGGCCAACACTGGTCTTATTGAACAAAGTGACAAGCTGATGGAAAAACAGAAGGGGTTAGCAAAGATTATGGAAGAGAACATGCCAAGAGTTATAAGGTAAGGCTGTTGGTATTCACAGACTCACCCAGTGCTGTAGGATCCGCTCAGTGGAGTTGAACTTTAAGGAACCAGGATGGCCCATCTCCTCTGTGTGGTGCAAGTTGGTGATGGTGAAGTTGAGGGTGATGGATACCATGATAGTACCATTGGCTATAGCAGTGGGGGAAGACAGAAGTGTCCATCTTGGGACCTGATAATGATCGAGGCTGCTTCTAGTCCTAACTGGCACACTGTACAACTAACAGGATCTGATCCAATGGATATTTTGGAATGCTCAAGACATCAAACCCATTCTTCATTGATCCAGGGGGCATTCATAGACCTAATGTGTGCAAGGCTGTGTGATAAGCTCTTTGGACTAGTGCATTATCTTCTAATGTTTGGCCCCGGGAAGCTACCATACAATTATCTTTAGAAGACGTTGGTTAGTGGGCTTGTATGAAAACCCATGAGGGGGACCCAACAAATGACTGAAGAAAGCTCTTTGGAGAAAGAATCATTTCAGGTGTGATCGAAAGCATGAGTATGAATTAATAGAGGTTGAACAGTAAGGGGAGCACTCTGAGCAGCTACTCAAAAGCCTCCAGTAACATGGTGCACTAAAAATTATAATTCTTTTATTCTGACAAGGAAATACAGATGTGAGAGTGAAGGACTCCTTTGAGCACATAAGAGGGAGGCAACAACCAGGTAACACAAGGCTTTGGATGTGACTTATAGGACAATAGAGCCATTTGAATGTTGTCTATAAAACAGGTTTTGTGAACATAAGTACACTTTGAGAAATGTAGCTGCTGTGTAGAAGGCATTAGGAAGCCAGAGTAGAGGCTGGGGCAGACTTTCTATCAATTAAAATTGTGCTTGCCTCAAAACATTTGATTGATATTGGTACCAAGCTACAAAAGAGTTTTTAAGAGATCCCAATGGGACAAGATATGAGACTTGGTGATGAATGGATGTGGGTGGTAAAGAGAGGAAGGGTGAAGGTTGGAACCCAGCTTCTGCCTTTGGTGTTTCAGGGAAAAATTAGGTTTTGGGGACCATCATGACCTCTGGGCCAGTGATTATGACAGTGTTAACTGTCAACTTGACAGACTCCAAAATTTACATGATGGGCCTCTAACCATGTCTATGAAGGATTATCTTGATTTGGTGAAACTGAGGTGGGAAGATCCATCTTAAACTGTGGGCAGACCATTCCTAGAAAAGGGCATCCTGGGCTGTATAAATGGAGAAAGGGAGCTGAGTAGTTGGAGGCATTCATTATTCGCTGCTTTCCAGTTGAGGATGCTAAGTGACCAGCTCTTCAAGTCCCTGCTGCCTTAATTTTCTTGTCATGAACTGTGAGACAATAAAACACTTCCTTCCTAGAGTTGTTGTTATTGTAGTACTTTATCACAGCAACAGAAAAGTAACAATGATCAAGGGTCCAGAGTGATGTCTAGGACATGAGTAGACCAACGATCAAGAACTAACATGTGGTACGGACTAGATTCAGAATTTGTACCTTGAGTGACTAGATCATTCCTAGAACTCACAGAATGCAATGGCTTCATTGAGGAAGTTGAATGAGCATTGAGAAAAAAAATGGTTTGCTACAAATGACCCAATAGTAATTGCATTGGTGCCAATAAAAGTCTATAGCCTTTCCTACCTCTCGGACTGGTTGTAGGGGATGCTGGGAAGCATGTTGCAGTCAAAGATTCAGGTACAAAAAAAGATGAGGAATGAACTCCAAGCCATTATACATCTGTCAGGCATAGTTCCAACCTAGGTGAGAATACTTAGAAGAATCTGTGCTTTTCTCTATGTCCTCTACTGTCTAGAATTAGACATCATCCTTGGGTTATGTGTTTGGGGAGAGGGTGGGTGATTCTCAGCCCACATTTCTGAATGTTTTTGAACTCTAAAATGGATAATAGAAGGGTTGGCTCATCCAGCAGTTCTAAATTTTTAGGAGATAGGAGGCAGTCATTGGCATGAAAGAGTCTGCAATACTCACTGTCAAGGGTGGTGCTTGAGCCCAGATGGGAATAACCTGCAGAGACATAGAGAGATGATGAGGAAGGAGAAAGATTGTCATCAAAAAGGCAACTTGGCTGTTGGAGAGATGCTCTGTTGGTGGCTGGACAACACATTGTTGTGATTTATTAAAAAACAAACAAACAAAAAAACAGAGGTATGGGGAGATGCTCAGCTGGTAAAGCCCTTGCCTTGTAAGCATAAGGACTGGAATTTGAATCCCCAGGATCCACATAAAAAAGATGGGCGTATGTGGTAGTCCACCTGTAATCGTAGCACACAGGAGGCAGAGACAGGGAATTCCTGCAGCAAGAGGCTAGCCAGAGTAGCCTAAATAATGAGCTCTGGGTTCAACAAGAAGCTCTGCTTCAATATATAGGGTGGAGAACAATCTCCACATGCATTTACAAACATACGCATATGCAGCATCACACAAATGTACCCCCACACATGAAAACATGCATACATACACATGGACCATACACACATACATATGCAAAATAAAAAAGAAACCAGAGCTCTCATCTGTATGTGATAAATATGTACTTATTATCTTCAGAAGGACAGAGGCTTTGTTTGGAAACAACTCTGATGTGAGGCCTAAATAGAAATCGGAGCTAGGTATAGGGATTTACTTTGTCAGAGCCTCCCAGGCAGTGAAAAGAAATCCACATTCCAACATGATACTTTATTATTGAAATAGAGACTCATAAAAACATGAGAGAAAACACTCTTGAGTGCCTGGCTGTTGCCTCCATCTTTTTGGATGTGCCATTGTCTGGCGGAAATAGTGAGGTATAGGTCTCCACTCATTCAAGGCTGAGGTAAGTTGGGGGTGAGGAGTAGAGATGGTGAATTCAAGGACAGTTCCATTTTAAGGGCTGGATTGTAGATGGAAGAATATTACAAAATTTTATAGCCACATGAAACATGAGAATACTCACTGCTGGAGGTAGTGCCCACGATCTGGTAGGCATAAACTGGCAAAGGAGATAGACTGGAGGGGTGAGACATAAAGGAGACAGGAAGGACATGGGGCTTGCTGAGCTAAAATAAAGGTTTTCAGCCTGTGTTGGACGATCTTGACTGTCAATTTGATGGGATTTGGGATCATCTAGAAGACACTTCCTGGGCATGTCTATGAGAGTATTACCAGAGCAATAGAAATTCATCCTAAATGTGGATAGCACCATTCCATGGCCTAGGGTCCCAGACTGATTAAAAAGTAGAAAGTGAACTGACCACCAGAATTCATTTCTGTTTCATGACTGCTGATGTCACGTCACCAGCTGCCTCACCCTGCTGCCATGTCTTCCCTGTTATGATGGACTATGTCCATTCACAAACCAAGAGTCAGAATAAGCCTTCCCTTCCTGAAGTTGCACAGCAATGAGAAAAATAACTATTCATTAGTTAGCCCCTTACCATTAATGTAGAGACTATCCTGGTCAAGAGAATACGGGCCCAGTTGAGTAACACCATGGGTCAGTTTGCTCAGTTCCCAGTATAGTTGCTCGCTGTCCAGCCCGTGAACTGAGGGATTAGGGAGAAGGGTACAAACTATATCTACTCCAGTGGCTGTTCCATCTTTCTTTGGCCTGGGTAGAAAGGGTAAAAGTGATGATTATAAACAGTCTTGAGATTCATTGGAGTGGAACAAGAAGAGGCCACAGGGAATGAGAGGCCTGAGTAGAGAGGCAAGTATCCATACTTAGCTGAGAATAAGAAACTGGATATCAGCCCTAAACTGGACATCTTCATCAGCTCCTCACCCCCAACCGAGGTTAAGCAATATTGTGGAAGAGCATAGGAACTGACTTTTACAATATGGATACAGTCTGTACTGATGATTTTTAACTAACTTGCAACGAAAATGTTAGCATATAAAACAAGCTCACTGAGCCATGTCCCTGTGACCTGGGAACCTGACTTTAATCCCTCAGGACCCAACTTTGGCAGTGAAGACAGTGAATGGATGTGGGTGTGCATGATTAACATATCAAAGCACTAGATGCAGTGTTTTTTCATTGAAAACAGCGAGAAAAATTGAGAAGACTGTCTGTAATAGTGTGTTTGTGTGTATGACATTCTCAGCACAGGGATCAAAGGGCTAGATTCTCTCACAAGATAAGGGTAGATCCTAGCTTCTACTTCCCCAATCCATGATGAAGATACTGTTTCAGTAAAAGAATGTGTGAAATCTGGCTCAAGAGCACAGTTACATTAGACATCTGAAGGAGCCAGTTCTCAGAGTTCTGGTTCATTCTAAGCCTTAAAATGAACGGTAAGAGTTAGGGTATTTCTTTATTCATGTATAACAATAACTTGGCTTAGCAATGACACAGAAGAGGAGGCAGAAAGAAAGAAAGAACTGGAGTGTGGGGAGGGGTCCATGGAACACTGTCTTCTGGACATGTCTTGACCATCCCATTCATGAACTCACAGCAGTTGTGGTTACCTGCATAAGACCTGCACAAAAGCAATCTGGCATAGATGGAGAGGGACTCTTCAGGGTCCATGCCTTAATTGATAGCTGTTAGGGGAGAGAGAATTGTACTGGGCAGGGGTGGGAAGGATATGTGAGGAGCAAGAGAGGGAAAAGAGGGATGAATATGATCATATTTAATTGCATATATGTATGTATTTATTTAGAATGAATAAAAATTGGGGCTGGAGAGATGGCTCAGTGGTTAAGAGCACTGGCTACTCATGCAGAGGTTCTGGGTTCAATTCCCAGCACCTACATGGTAACTAACAACTATCTGTAACTCCAGTTCCAGGGGATCTGATGCATGTGGTGTGCTCACATACATGCAGGGAATACACTCATACACATAAAATAAAAATAAAAAATAAAATAGTTTAATAAAAAAGAATGAATAAAAATAATTTTTTTTAAAAAAAGAATACAGCCTTAGATTCCCTGAGTACATTGACCTCAAAGCCTGGGCCTGTGAGCAGAGTCATGGACTTGAGAATGCTTATGCACTAGCAAGATCTGGACCCAAATGCTCATGGCAGGGGAACAGGAGGGCACATGACTGAGACAGATGAAATGTTGGATGGGAGATTCAAGCAAGCAGAGAAGTCATCTTTGTTTTGATTTTGCAACAATTTAACATCCAGTGAACATATTTTCATTGGTAAATCAAGAAGAAAGTGAGAATTCAAAAGGAAAGACTCAGGGTGGGCTGGGCTCCCACCCTGCTGTTAGATTCTACAGAATTTCAGTGTAGTTCTTAGAAGAAGTTGAAGGAGGAGGAGACATTTTGTTGCTGGATCCAGGGCACTCTAAATTCTGTCTTTACTGGGGACATTCAGAAGAATGGTGGGAAGGGAGTTGGTTAAATTCCTGATCCTGAGACTACTTGAGGCAGCCCTATTCTGCTATTCTAAGGCCTTACCTGAGCAAAATCAGTCTGCAGCCAGAGTAGAGGGGACCAACACTGGTTTCCTTAAACAATGGCTCAAGCTGTGGAGGAGAAAGAGGTAGGTGGTCAGAGAGGCAAAGGTCATGTCATCCTTGTTGAGTAAGGCTGAAGCTATGGTTGAGGTTTGTATCAGTTGAGGCATGAGCAAAATGGGTAGGAATCTTACCAGGCGCTGTAGGACCTTCTCTGTGGCATTGAACTTCCTGGAGGCTGGAGGCTGCATATCCTCATTGTAATGTAGGCTAGTGATGGTGAAGTTGAGGGTAAATGATATCAAGGGTTTTTCTGTGGCTGCAGTGGAAGAGTGAGGGGAGGAAAGTCATAGTAATGGGCACAGGGGTGGATCTGGGACCACTGAACAGACATATGCAATTATCTTACAGGAGTCCACAGCAATGGTGATGAAACTTTAGGTCTGTGCTACCTAGCTTTAGCTGTCAACTTAACATAGTCCAGTGTCAGCTAAGTGAGTCAAAATTGGGAGACTCCCCAGATCAGACTGGCCAATGGCCATATTTGTGTGGGATTGTATCGATTGATGATGTATGGCCCAGCCCACTGTGTGCTGTATCATCTCTAGGTAGGTGGGCTGGGCTGTACAAGAAAACTAGCTGAACTTGAGCCAGGGAGTGAGCCAGGAAGCGAGCCAGTAAGCAGCACTCCTCCTTGGTTCCTGCCTTGATTTCCTACCTTTAATTCCCTCAATTGTGGATTTTGACCTGCAAGTGTAATCCAGAGAGATTTTTTCCTCCCTAAATTGGTTTTGGTCCTAGTGTTTGTCACAGAAACAAAGGAAACTAGAACCAGAGCTCCAAATCCATAATTACCAGTAATGGACATTTGTCCATCATATACTGATGGCAAAAAGGATTTTTTTTTTTTGGAGACAAAGACTCTCTGTAGCCTCAGCTGGCCTGGAACTCACTATGTAGACCAGTGTGGCCTCCATCTCACAGAGAATCTGCTTTTGCTTCCTGAGTGCTGGGATTAAAGGTGTGTGCTACCACCACCAGTCTATGATTTTTAATTATAAGGAGTTGAAAGAGGACCCAGATACCTTTGCTTTGATCCTAGCACTCAGGAAGCTAACAAAGCTTCTGTAGCCTCAGCTGGCCTGGAACTCACTATGTAGACCAGTGTGGCCTCCATCTCACAGAGAATCTGCTTTTGCTTCCTGAGTGCTGGGATTAAAGGTGTGTGCTACCACCACCAGTCTATGATTTTTAATTATAAGGAGTTGAAAGAGGACCCAGATACCTTTGCTTTGATCCTAGCACTCAGGAAGCTAACAAAGTATGATCACAAGCTGGAGGCCTGCCTGTGTTACACAGTCAGACGATGTCTCAACAAACCAAATTTTGGGAATGTAGTTCAGTGGTAGAGCACTTCACTAGCAAGCTTGAGATTCTGGGTTCAATTCCTAGCACCACAAAAACTATTTTTGAAGTGGAAGTTTTCTGGCCTACATCTTTATTTCCATCAATTGTTCACCTACTTCCCTCCATTCACAAATCAACATTCAGTGACATTTCGTGTATTTGCTTCGTGAGTATGCGAATGTGTCTATAGAGGGTAGAGGACTACCTCAGACGTCTTCCTTCAGAGCCATATAATCTACCAGTTAGGTTGGGTTAGCTAGCTAGAGCTTGGGAAATCTTTTTCTCTCCACATTCTCAGTGCTGGGATTGTGAATGTACATAGATCCTGCCTCTTCTTTTTTTCTTCTCTTTTCTTTTCTCCTCTCCCTCTCCTCTCCTCTCCCTCTCCCTCCCCCCTCCCTTTTCTCTCCTCTCTTTTCTTTTTACATAGGTTCTGGGGATCAAAGTCGGGTGCCTTACAGCTGTTTTACTACTTGAGCTATTTCCCTAGCTCCATTTATGTGTAATTCAGAGCTGAGAATTTTCTCATTGACTGTTCAGCCTATGACTCTGACTTCTTCGGTTCTTGACTGTTGTTCGTGTCATGAGGACCCCTGTCCTTCCTTTTCTGAATGTGGGGGGAGGGTGTTCTGAAGATCACTGAGTACTCACCATTGAGAACAGTGACTGAAATCAAGTTGGTGTAACCTGCAAAAAGAGATTGGGAAAGAGGGCACGGTGAAGAAAAAGAAATACTGACTCAGAGGGGAAGATGTGGGCTTTGCAATACAGTCATCAATGGATGGCAGCTGCTCACCATTGACATAGAGGCTGCCCTGGTCTAGCAGGTACCGTCCCATCTGAGTGATGCCTTGGGTCAGTTCACTCAAATCCCAGTACAGTTTCTCTCTGTCCAGCTTGGGTGCTGTGGGGTCAGCATGGTATGTGCAGACTGTGTCCAGTCCTGTGGCTGACCAATCCTTCTCAGGCCTAGGGCAGACAAGTAAGGGTAATGAAGAAAGAAAACTAGTGTAAACTTGTATTGCCACTATAGAAATCAGTATGGAGGCTTCTCAAAAATTAAAAATAGAACTTCTACATGACCCAACTATACTACTCCTGGACTTATATCCAATGGACTCTATATCCTATTACAGATATACTTGCACATACACTTTTATTGTTGTTCTGTCCACAATAGCAAAGAAACAGAATCAACCTACATGTCTATCAACAGACGACTGGATAACAAAATTCTGGTACATATGCACAATGAAATTTTATTCAGCCGTAAAGAACTTATGGAACTGAACAATATTCCATTAAGTGAGATGATCCAAACTCAGAAACAACAAACACATCATGTTCTTTCTGATATGTGGATCATTGCATCTAATTTTTATTCATGTGTATTTATGTGAGACTGAATGTGTATAGAGGCAGGAAACTAGAAAGGTGCTCATGAGAGACTAAAAAGAAGCTTTAAGGGAGACACATGGCGAGGTTACTATAGTGTATGATATGAAAGTGAAGGAGGGTGGAGACGGGGTACTAAACCCAGGTCCTCTGCAAGAGCAGCCAGTGCTCTTGACCACCAAGTCATCTTCCCAGTGCCCCTTAATGTTTAAAAAATAAAGGCTGGAGAGATGTCTCAGGAGTTAGTACTACTGTTTGCTCTTGCAGAGTACCTGAGGGTCAGTTTCTAACATCCACATCAGGTTCCTCACAACATTACCTGTAATCCCAGCTTCAGGGAAATCCAACACGCTCTTCTGGCCTCTAAAGGCACCTGCACTTGTGTATGTACACATACATATTTAAAAGTAAATCTTTTTAATACCTTGCCCATGAGGTGCTGGATTTATGGAGCAAGAAGAGAAAGCCCAGAAAAAAGAGAAGTGTCATAGGAAGATTGGAAATTAGACACAAATTTCTGGAGTGTAATGTCCTCTGGCTTAACCACTACTTTGAGTGGGTAGGACAAATGTTATTATATTCTGAGACTGAAATCTACAACCTCACGACAAGGGGACAGGAGAGCTCATGCTTATAGGTGACACTGATGTCTCAATTAGAGAATGAAGCAGGTAGTGATGTACATTTGGTGTCTGCTTTTGTTTATTGTTAAATCTTATTTGTTTTATGATTTTTATTTTTCACAATTTGGAAACAAAAAAATTTTACTTTCTATTTTCATTTATATGCATATGTGCATTTCTTCATGTATGCATGTGTATGCAGTTGCCGGCTGTGCTAGTTTGAATAAAAAAATGTCTTTCAGAGGCCCAAGTATTTGAACATTTGTTCCCCAGTTGATGGCACACTTTGGGGCAGCCATGGACTTTTTACGAAGGCTTGCTTCAGAAAGTATGTCACTGGAGGCAGGCTTTGAGAGTTTATATAACCTCACCCCATTTCTGGTTCACTCTCTTTGCTTGAGTTCAAAGGTGTGCTCTCTCACTTCCTGCTGTGGCCTCTTGCTATTATGCCTCCCCCACCATTATGGACTCTCCCTCTGGAACTGTAAAACCAAGTAAATTCTTCTATAAGTTGCTTTTGGCCATAGTATTTTAGCGCATCAACAGAAAAGTAACTACTGTACCCACAGGCCGGAAGAAGTCTGTACTAGTTACTTGTTTGTTGCTGTGATAAAATACCATGACTAAAGATGGGAGAGTTTATTGGGCTAATGGTTGCAAAGGGTTAAGAGTCCATCATGGTCAGGAGGCATGGTGGGAAGCAGCCAGAGCAGAAAGCTGAGAGCCCACAACATCAAACAAGCACAGAAAGCAGATAGTGAGAATGGAAATGGGACAAGGCTATAAACTCCCAGAGCCTGCCTTTTGTGATATGATTCCTCCAGCAAATTCCTCCTTGCACCTCCCAAACCTCTGCAAGTAGCTCCACTATTATAAAATAGTCAAGTATTCAAGCAGTTGGAGCCCATGGGGGACATTCTCATCCAAATCACCATAAGGGCATTAGATCCACTGCTGTTATCACTGATGCTATTGCTGCCATCAGAACCCAGCTTCTTTGACTTTCCAATATAGATGGAAGACCAGAGACTCTCCAAAAGTTACCCAATCTTCAGCACCAGATTGGGGCATCCAGCTTTACGGAACAGCTAGTAGGTTCTCAGCCTTTTCAGTGTACAGATGGCCACTCTCGGACTATTGTGCTTGAATCATGTAAGCCAATCTAATACATCGACTTTTAATATATATTAACTCTATTGCTTCTGCTCCCCTGGAGAATACTGACTAATACAATATTGTTAAATATTCAGCAGTACAGAGAACAGTCACTTGCAAATAGTGCCAGTGCTACAATCCCTCTGCCCTGTACCCTATTGTCTGGTATCTACTTATTGCTTGTTGTGTGTGAACCATCAGGAATAGCCAAGTGTGTCATGGCCTCTCTTTAAGGGCTGAAGTGCATCCTTTGTAAAGTGGTGGTGTGTCTCTTACAAAGGAATTTCATTCACTTTCCACTTGCTTTGTCATGTTGTGCCTAAGAAACCCTAGACTGGGATATGAGGGATCTGGCTGTGACATTTCTTACTCCACTGATCACCAGAATTGATTTGGCTGATCTGGCTCCCTAAGCAGGTGACCCCTTCCTCCCTAATGGCTCCATGTGCTTCCCATCTGAAAGCTGTATGAAGAGGATGACTTTCCCCAATGGAGGGGGGGCTGTTCTTTGGTCCAGTGTTGAGGAAAAGTTGCTTTTCCTTGCTAGAGTCTTCAAACAAGCTCTCAAGAAATACTGTGCCCATAATTGGAGAGGTCATAAACGCTAAAGATCCTATTACTGCCACTTTCCTAATCCAACATAATTCTTACTATATTCTAAATATCCTTGTATTCACAGATAAGTGTAGCTCTCACCACTCATCAAAGAGTCTTCTTTTTGCAACAGTTGAAGACTTATAAAACCCTACAATTGATCAGAATACAGACAATAAGTGACTGTGTGCTGCCTAGCCCCAACTCGCAAGTCTGCAGTGCAACCTCTACGCCTAAGGCTCACTGAACATTAAAGAAGAGGGAGTGCAAAGATTGTAAGAGCCAGAGGAATACAATGTCTACTATTCTGTACATGGTACGAAATGAAATCTGCACCCATGAAATTTCTGCAACATGGTAGCCCAACAAGACCTGCATAATGACAGCACCAGTTGGCATCCCAGTACAGATGGGAGAAATTTCACAAGGTGTCACCTCAAATGGAAGAGCTGCTGAGGGAGGGAGAATCAGTTTTCTCCAGGATGAGTTCCCTGGTAGATTATGTAACCAAAAGTGGTCAGCTCTAAACACATGTACTCATGGACTCAATTGATATATATATATATATGTATATGTATATATATATATATATAATGTATATTTTTATATATAACAAAATAATCAAAGAACAGGACAAGTATTAAGAGGAAGTGGGAGGAGACATGGGAGGATTTTGGGAGAAGAGTGGGAGGGATGGAAAAAATGTGAAAAGGAATCTTATGTGAAATTCTCAAAAAACTAATAAAAAAAGAGATAATGTGACGCATTTGTATGTTAAATGACCGCAGGGGTTCATGAGCAAAGGCCTGGTCCCTAGGGTGATGCTGTTGGGAAATGGGAGATTCTTGGAGAGGTGGAGCTGAGTGAGAAATCTTTAGATTATCTGGGGCCATGTTCTGAAGGGAAATCGTGGGACCCCTGCTCTTTCCTCTTCTTTTCTTGTGCTTTGTAGTGTGGATGTGGCCAGTTTGGTCTTCTGCCTTTCTGAAGGTCAAAACCAAGGATCTGCATGATCATGGGTAGGTGCCTCTGAAACTATGATACAAAAAGAAACCTGACTTCTTAGACTTGGGATGTATCTAAGCTGGTGGAGTGCTTGCCCTAGCAGGGCGTAAACTGGGCATGATGGTACACAACTGTAATCCCGGCACTTGAGAGGTAGAGGCAGGAGGAACACAAGTTGGTCATGTTCAGGTACATAGTGAATCTGAGGAAAACCTGAACCTGTTTCAAAAACAAAAACAAAACTTTTCATTTTGTAAGTTGATTATTTCAGATATTTTGTCATAGTGTCAGAAAACTAACACACTATATGGGAGATCTGAAACTCAGAAGGACGGGAAAATATAGAATCAGGCCTGACCCAGGAGTTTCAAAGGGCTGAGACCAAAAAAAAAAAGATGTGGCCCTTGAGAATTGTGTGTGATACTCTGCCACGTCTTCCTGGGCCTGTCTTCTCTGTAGGTCTCACCTGAGTGAGATCAATCTGCAACCAGAGAAATGTCCGCCAATGCTGGTATTTTGGAACAAAGGTTTGAGCTGTGAAGAAGAGAGAGAGTTCAGTTGAGTGAGAAGTCTAAATGGTGACAAGGGTGGGGCTGACATGAGGTTAGCAACAGAAGAGATATGGACAGGGCAGAGCAGATGGGTGGGTACCAGTAAGTGGGGCAAGAGAGGAGGGGGTGGGGCTGGAAATGTGGTAGGGGCAGTGGAGATGTGGGTGGGGTTGCAATGAGTAGGAAGGGCACTTGTGAGTGACAGGAAGAGTGTGGGTGTGGAACAGGCAATGGAGGGAAGTAGACGGCTTCAGTGGGTAGGTTGGGCAACTGGAAGGTAGAGAGAGCTAGGGTGAGGTGGTGGGCCATCCGTAGGTGTTTCGAGAGATGGATCAGTGGGGCTCAAACCAGTGCAAGAGGCATCAGGGTGTGAAGCAAGGAAGAGATGGCAAGGGCTGGAATGGGTGAGCCCAGTACCAACATAAGAAGGATATGGGCAGACACCAGAGGGAGGGGTAAGAGAGCAGGTGGGAAGCGTTAGATGGGAAGGGGGGCTTTAGTGAACAGATAGGGGAGCAGGACATGGATACGTATGGTTGAATTAAGTGGACGGGACACTGTGAATGAGGAAGGAGTCAACAGGAGGGACAGGTGAGGTGGGTGGGACTGGAGTGAATAGGTGAATTATAGGTGAGTGAGGTAAGAGAGAGAGGTGGTTAAAGCTGAAGGTGGAGAGATGACTCAGCAGTTAAGAGCACTGGCTGCTTTTGCAGAGGGACTGGGTTCGAATCCTAGCACCCACATGGCAGCTAACAACCATCTGTAATTCCAGTTCCAGGAGATTCAGTGCCCTCTTCTGATAGCCACAGGCATTGTACAACAGGGGTACATTTACATACATGCAAGCAGTACATCCATACACATAAAAATTTAAAAAGTAATAAAATAAAATATTTTTAAAAGATAGGGAGGTAGTCAGGACTTTAGTGAACAGGTTAAGTAAGTAGGTGATAGGTAGGACTTGAGTAGGTGGGAGGACATCCATGGGTGAGATAAGAGAAAGGTGGGCAGGGCTTCAGTGGATGGGGAAAGTAGGAGGAGGGTCCCATTTGTGGTTGAAGTGAGAGACCAGTGGGCTGGACTAGAAGTGGTGGAAGAGGCACCAGTGGGTTGGGCAAAGGGCTGGCTCCCCAGTGAACCAGCCAAGGGAAGTGGGTATGGCTGGAAGGAATAGGTAAGCCTTAGGTATGGGAGGCAGGAGAGGGGTGGGTACGATGAGAAGGGTTGAAGAGTCACCAGTACAGGAAGCAACAGAAAGGTAAGAAGGGTTGAAACAAGTGGGTGGGGCACAGGTGAGTGAGGCAAGAGGGATGAGGGTAGGTGTTAGTGGCTGGGTCAAGGAGAAGTGGCTGAGGTTTTAGAGGGTGAATGGGGCAAGGAGGAGTGAGTATGGCTAGAGAGAGTAGGCTAAGCACCAGTGAGTGAGGGCTGGGGCAAGGGAGGTGGGTGGGGTTCTCACAATGATGTTCAGGATCCCCTCTATTTTGTTGAACTTCTTAGATCCTGAGATTCTCATGTCCTCTGTGTAGGGCAGGTTGATGATGGTGAAGTTAAGAGTGAATAGCCGCACAGCAGGGCCTGAGGCTGCAGTTAGATTGGGGGAAAATCAAACCCTGAGTCAAAGTAAAACTAGATTTGGAGGTTGAAAGGCAATCTACATTTACAGTTTACATCATGGACATCCCATGTAGCCATAGCTGTTCAGACAAACATCCGTCCCAGAACAGAAAACTTTACTTTGAGACACCAGTAGTAATGAAAATTAAAATATCAGTGGAAACCTGCTGCTCGTCTTAGTCAGAGATGCTTCTTCTTGCAGTGGACAGTGCTCACTGGTCACCAGTCACTGTCATGACTGCTTAAACTGCTAAAAGCAAGTGACTCTCTAGTGCTTAGAACATCTATACCATGCCATTTATGACTCAGGGGACACAGCAAAGGAGGGGTGGAAGGAAAATAAATGCTGGAGGATGGGGAAGAATGCTGTGGCAGGCACTCCTCTGGACAGGACATGGCCATTACACTCGTAAATCCACTACAGCAGCTGTTACCTACACAAGATTTGAACAAGAGTGGGCCTGTCAAATGTCTATCAAGGATGGGGGATGTACTTATGAGGATCCCACCTCTCTGAGGATTGATAGGCAGTTAATAGTTGGGAGATGGAGACATTTTCTACATGATAAAGTGCCCATGCTCCTGTAAATAATCCCTTACCCATGGTCCTATAAAGCAACCCTAAGTCAATGAGTCACAGAGGAAAAAAAAGCTGTAAAAGTAGAATGGGTGGGCTAGAGAAATGGCTCAGCAGTTAGATACAGGTGGCATAAATACTCAGAGAAACACATAAAAGCATACATTACAACAAAATAAATCTTCTAAGGAATAGAAAGAAAGAAAGAAAGAAAGAAAGAAAGAAAGAAAGAAAGAAAGAAAGAAAGAAAGAAAGAAAGAAAGAAAGGAAGGAAGGAAAGAAGGAAGAGAAAGAAAAAAAGAAAGAAAGGTTGGAAAGATGGCTCAGTGGTTAAGAATGCTGGCTGCTCTGGCAGGGTACTGGGTTTGATTCCCAGCACCCACATGGCAGCTAACAACCATCTGTAGCTCCAGTTCCAAGGGAATCCAATGCCCTCCTCTGACCTCCAAGGGCATTGCACAACATGGTGCACTTACATACAGGCAATACACTTCTACACATAAAATAAAAGCAAATATTTTTTTTAAACAAGTAGATGGGGACTACTTAGGAAGAACAGGTTCAAAGGAGAGGGAAGGGACAGTGGGAGATAATGAAGGACAAGAAAGGTAAAAATATTTGTATACATGAATGAGATTATCAAATAATGGAGCTGTTAATTAAATTTTAAAAAGTCAAAAAATAACAATAATAACAGTTTTGGGGTTTTTTTTTTTTTTTTTTTTTTTTTAAGCAGGGGCTCCCGGTAGCCCCAGCTGTCCTGGAACTCACTATGTAGACCAGGCTGGCCTTGAACTCACAGATCCTCCTGCCTCTGCATCCCAAGGGCTGGGACTACAGGCATGCGCCAACACGCCTCACTAATAATAGCAGTTTTAATACTTGGTAGAGCTTGGTGCTAAGCATTCTCTACTGTTTCATGTAATCCTAATGCAATTCCTAGAAGTAATGTGTAGTCCAAACTGAGAAGAAGTAACGTGTAGTCCAAACTGAGAAGGGATGAAGATGAATTTCAGAAAGGTTAAGTTACTTCCCCAAGGCACATAGCAACTTTAAGTTGCAGAGTTTGAGTGACTTAAGATTGACTGTTACCTATCTTCTGACTGATTGACGAGCAAAATCACTTAATTCTCCAAGACTCAAGCTTATGCGTCTCTTAAATGTTAAAATGATAGTGACTCTCTGCTAAAGTACAGTCCCTGGTGTGTGGGTAAACACCAGTGAATGTTTGCATGGTTCCTTGTTCAGTCTTTTCTCTGTTGATCCCCTTCATACCACTAGATGGAAGCTACAAACAGCTTTATCTCTGGCACTAATAAGAGGCTTGTATGTTGGGGGAAGTCCTTCAGAGAAGGAGACCTTGGAGGGCTAGGGTACAGGACTCATTTCTCCAAAGAGAAGAAAGATAAGGGAGACCGATGTGGGAAGGGTTAATTGGCAGGTCAGAATGGAGCCTTGGGTTACAGACTTCTGAAGAGGAGCAGAGGCCCAGGGTGTTTAGAACCTTAGAATGGATCTTTGGTGTGTCTAGTTGTATGCATGTATGTATGTCTGAATGTGGAGGCACATTTGTGTGCAGGTACATTTGCATGTGTCTGTGGACACATATGTGTGTGGTTACACATTCATGTGTATGTGCATGTGTGTAAGGTTGATGTCAGGTGTCTTCATCATACCGTACCTTATAAATTCAGGCAAGGTGTCTCAGCGGAACCCAGAGTTTGCCTTTTCTGCTAGTTTCACTTGCCAGCTTGTTCCCAGAATTCCCTGTCTTCACCTCCTATAGTAGACTTATAGGTAGGCTGCTCTGCCACCGGGATTTTATGTGGATTTTGGGAATACAAACTCTGGTCCTCATGCTTATGTAGCAAGTGCGTTAGTCACTGAACGATCTTCCAGCTCCACGTCCTCAGGATGGTGCCTGAGGACTAGCAGCTGAGGCTGACCCCTGACTACCACAAGCACACGCACACGTGAGCAGGTGTACCCCCACCACACACACAAAAGTGCACTTGCACACACACACACACACACACACACACACACACATACACACACGCAAATAAAAATAAATTTTTTTAAAAAGTTGGTGCTGGAGAGATGGCTTAGCCATTAAGAACGCAGGGCTGCAGTTAACCAAAAGAAACAGCAAATCCAAATTAACAAAACCAGAGATGAAATCGGATCCATCACAACAGACACCAAAAAAATCCAAAACATTGTAAGGGAATATTTTAAAAATCTATACTCCATTAAATTTGAAAATCTAAAAGAACTGGATGAATTCCTAAAATTATGGCCATCACCAAAGTTAAACCATGAGGAGATCAACAGCTTAAACAGACCCATAACAAATAAGGAAATTGAAACAGTAATACAAAACCTCCCAAATAAAAAATGCCCAGGCCCAGATGGATTCACAGCAAAATTCTACCAGACATTCAAAGGAAATCTATAACCAATACTGCTTAAATTATTCAAAATGATGGAAACAGAGGTAGAACTCCAAAATTCCTTCTATGAAACCAGTATCACTCTAATACCAAAACCAGGTAAAGACACAACAACAAAAGAAGAAAACTATAGAGCCACGTCCTTAATGAACACAGATGCAAAGATACTGTGCTGCATAGCTTTAGTGTCAACTTGACACACCCGGGTTGAGGGAGCCTCAATTGGGGAATTTCCTCTATTGGACTGGCCTGTGGCCATGTCTGAGGGGCATCTTCTTGATGAGTGATGTGGGAGGGCCCAGCCCACTGTGGGTGGTGCCACCCCTGGGCAGGTGGCCCTGTGTTGCATAAGGAAGCAGGCTGAGCAGGGGCCAGGGGAGCAAGCCAGTAAGCAGCGTTCCTCCATGGCCTGTGCTTGAGCTCCTGCCTCCAGGTTCCTGCCCTGAGTTCCTACCTTGGGCTCCCTGATGAACTGTGACCTGGGAGATGTAAACTGAATAAACCCTTTCCTCCCCAAGTTGGTAGTGGCGAGAGTGTTTTGTCACAGCAATGAAGAGACAAACTAAGACAGAAATTGGTACCAGAGAGTGGGATATTGCTGTGACAGGCTGACCTTGGTGTTTTTGGGAGGATTGTGGAAGTGTTTGGAATTTTGGACTGGAAAAGCCATTGCGTGCTCAGAGTTTGTTGCTGTGGAGCTTGGAACAGTTATGCTGAAAGAGGTGTAGACGATAGAGGCCTGTCTTATGAAGCTTCAAAAGGAAGCAGAGACTATCAGGGCTGTTCCTGTGATATTTTGAATTGAGAATCTGTGGGTTCTGGTCATCTGGGGATGAAGAATCAGCTGTGATTAAGAAGAGACCAGAACCTGAAGTAAAACCTTTGCTTTACTGGGACAATTGATGCTGGTTATCTGGGGCTGAAAAATCAGCTGTAAGTAACAAGAGACCAGCATCACTGAGGTGAAGTCTTCTGGGAGGTATTTCCTCAGGGTCAGCACACAGAGGGGACCCAAGTCTCTATCTCAAGCTGGAAGCAGGACTTGTAAAAGAGTCTCCTGCATGGTTCTGGTGTTGAAAGTGTGAAGGGGTCACAGAGAGCAGCTGAGGCTTGGCACTCCTGTGAGAGGCCAGGAAAGGCCATAAGTGAACGTACAGCTACTTCAGTTGCAGTGAAGTTGGATTGAAGGGGTCATGGAGAGACTCTGAGGCTTTGCACCCCAAGAGGCAAAAAGAGGCCATTGGTGAAGGTGTAGCCTCAGTTTCAGTGGAAACCCCAGCTTTTTGGAGATGCCAGGGCTGTGGGATGACCCCCAAGAACCACAGTAGGTGTGGAATGGAGCTGGCCTGGGTCGGCAAGACAAGCTGTGTGTGCTGTGGATGGCAGAGTCAGAGAAGTGGAGTTGCCAGAACCCTTTGGAGGCCAGAGGATCCTTGGGAAATTTCCTCTATTGGACTGGCCTGTGGCCATGTCCATGGGCCATCTTCTTGATTGGTGATGTAGGGAGGGCCCAACCCCACTGTGCGTGGTGCCACCCCTGGGCAGGTGAGCCTGTGTTGCATAAGAAAGCAGGCTGAGCAGGGGCCAGGGGAACAAGCCAGTAAGCAGTATTCCTCCATGGCCTGTGCTCCAGCTCCTGCCTCCAGGTTCCTGCCCTGAGTTCCTACCCTGGGCTCCTTGATGAACTGTGACCTGGTAGATGTAAGGTAAATAAACTTTTTCCTCCCAAAGTTGGTAGTGGTCAGAGTGTTTTGTCACAGCAATGAAGAGACAAACTAAGAGAGATACTCAACAAAATACTTGCAAACCACATACAGACACACATAAAAATGATCATCCACAAAGATCAAGTCAGCTTTATTCCAGAGATGGAGGGATGGTTCAACATACATATGTCAATAAATTCAATAAACATATAAATGGACTTAAAGACAAAC